GGCCACAAGCAGTGCCTCACTTTACCTGGAATGCCACAGCAGTACAAGTGACAAGGCTCTCCATCTTGCTAGAACATTGTTCTCAAAGATAAATTATTGGGGTGCCTGGGGGGCTCAGTCATTTGAATGTCTGACTCTTGGTTTTGGCTCAGGTCACGATCTCCCTGTTGGTGAGTTCTTGCCCCGTGCGCGCTGACCGCACAGCCTGCTTGTGATTTTCTCTCTCCCCCTCCCCCTCCCCGCTCCTCCCCTGCTCAGGCTCTTTCCATCTCGCTCAGCAAAAACCATTTCCTTACATTGGCAAGCGATGCTCCAACTTTCAGGGGCAGGCCACCCCTGTGAAAATGTTTACACCAACCACATACCAACGTTAAAGCAACATGGAACTCAGAGGAGGCAGGGGTCCACAGGCACGTTTTTGGGTGGGACATTCCGGGGGGAGGCCAATGGTGTTGCCTCACTGAGTGGTACAGACGGAAGACAGGGAGGGTCTGGAGGTGAACGACCCAAGTAGGAAGTCAGGCTCTGCTCTTCCTGGCTGTGTGATGGTGGGTGTGTTCAATTGGTTCTCCTGATCATTTCTACGTCTGTAATAACGTTTGGTAAGATGATTTGCCTCTTGGAATGATCATGAAGAATAAATGATATATTTGAAAGTGCTTTTTAGGGGCACCTGGGTGGCTCAGTCGGTTGGACACCCAACTTCGGCTCAGGTCATGATCTCACAGTTCGTGGGTTCGAGCCCCGTGTTGGGCTCTGTGCTGACAGCTCAGAGCCTGGAGCCTGTTTCTGATTCTGTGTCTCCCTCTCTCTCTGCCCCTCCCCTATTCACGCTCTCTCTCTCAGAAATTAAAAAAAAAAAAAAAGTTAAAAAAAAAAGAAAGAAAGTGCTTTTTACTCTTGAAAGTGCTAAAAAAATATTATGTTCTCTCTTTCTGGAGCTGCTGTTCTTGGAACTAATCCGTGGAGCACTCAGCACCACAAGCTGGTGCTGTGTATGCGTGTGTGTGTGTGTGTGTGTGTGTGTGTGTGCGTGTGTCCAGGACACACAAGGCATCTGCCCTTCTTTTTGTTACTCTTGTTTGGAACCAAGAGTAGATATACACTGGGATGGGGATTTCACGCTGACCCTTCTCTTTCCCCTCCCCACTTATCTTCCTGATAATGAGGGAGGGAACCAGCAAATATCAACCCCCTGGAGTGAATTCCTACAGGTGAGAGTCAAGGAAACACAGAATACTGGTTCCCAAGCCAAGTACTATGTTATCATATCTAGTAAATCGTGCTTTATCTGGACATAAACCTTAGCCTGTGTGGTAATGAAGAACTCTGAACAGAGACTTTTCTTTTGAGGAGATCTCGTTAGAGCAGTGGGATTCAGGTTACTACTGAGTTCTGACAGGAGCCAGAATAGGAGACGACATTCTGAGTGATAGAATAGGTCAGCCGTGCCACGGTGCAATGGAGTGGACTGAGTCCCGAGTCGGGGGTTGGGAGACCCGTCCTAATGGGCCCTGGGTCGGTCTCCGGGCCTGGCCTGCCTGCCACTCTAGGTCTCTTGCCCTGAGCAAGTTATTCTGCCCCACCTTGGGCTGCAGGAGTCATAGCTGTGAAACGACTGTCTGGACCAGGTGCTAGCTGCACTTCCTCCCAGTTCTGTTGGGGAAGGAGGGGAAGCAACACTTGCCGAATGTCTGCCATGCACCTGCTGCGGTGTGCACTGCGAGAGTCTATGACTCTATAAATCCATCACACACAGGTGAGAGTTAGGTTTATGTAGAACTATGGAGTCACATAGACTTGGACCGGAATCTCAGCTCTATTATCTACCAGCAGTGTGACCTCAAACAAGTTTCTTAATCTCTCTAAGCCTCAGTCTTTTCATCTGTGAAATGGGTCTGGTGACACAGTAAGCATACTTTCTGCTCCCAGGTCTGCTCCCGCTCTTTTTTATGCATCATATATTTTGTCAGTAGATGCCATCTAGCCTCCTTTCCTCCTTTTGTGGAGGAACAGTCTAGGCCTAGAGAACCGAATGAAGTAACTAAGTATTAGATCTCGCAAATAGAGGGGCCTGGGTGGCTCAGTTGGTTAAGTGTCTGACTCTTGATTGCGGCTCAGGTCATGATCTTGAGGTTCATGAGTTCAAGCCCCACATCTGACTTCATGCTAACAGTACAGAGCCTGCTTAAGATTCTCTCTCTCTCTGCCCCTCCCCTGCTTGTGCTCTCTCTCTCTCTCTCTCTCAAAATAAATATTTTTTTTTTTTTAAAAAGATCATGCAACTAGTTAGAGGTAGGGATGGACCCCAAAGTCAGGACTCCCGGCTGTCCCTGAGCCTTGCGCTTGCTTCCTGAATGTCTTGTCTTTTTCTTTTTCTTTCCTTTTTTTTTTTTTTTTTTTTTAAATCATCTCCTGCTCTGAAAAGGACCATAAGCCCTTCCATGGTAGGCAGCCCAGATGTGCCATGGTAGGCAGAAGAACCCAGTGTGACGCCAAATCCCATTCCCTCACCAGACACTTCCCAAGAATAGCCACTGGGCTCAGGAGCCGTTTTCAGAATTTGATTCAGAGACCCTGCTCAGCATTTCTTCCTCCACTGCACCTCCTACCTCCTGCCGTTTCACTTCTGTGTGGGCAAATGAACCGTTCTGTGGTGTTCCTCTCAAGATAGTAGTAGCTCTGGGCTCTTCTCTACCACGTGGGCTACCAGGAGGGCCAGAAGAGTGTGATTCAAAGGGGGTCAGAACAAGGGAGCCCCCGTCAACCCACCAGAAGGGAACATGGCGGACATCTCGGGAAGGCTGTGAAGGAAGGTAGTGTCTAGTCGTTCAAGTCCTGGCCGCCGTGAAACATTCGTGAGGATGCGTCCTCAGTAAGGGCGCAGCCCCTTCCCCGAGTTTTTAAACTTGAATGCGTGGACTTCTGTGCCAGAGGGAGAAGAAAACTTTTATGGGCTTGAAATGATGGGCTTTTTCACGCATGTGTCAGCACTAGCAATGCCATGTCTTAAGAACAGAAGCCAAAGCATTAAATAACACGACTGATAAGCTTGTTGCATTTCCAGAGTTGGTGCGAGCCAGGAAAACAAGGGTGCCTGTTTGAAAAGTTTCTTTTCAGGAGGTGGCAATCCCAGGTGTCTCCGGCTTCCTAAGGAGCTACTAGTTTATTCAAGGGGCCCCTGTCTTTCCTTGGTCTGGAAGGTTGAGGCGGTCAGGGAGACGATCTCAGCGTCCATGGGCAAAGGCAACTCGAGTCTGGTCTGCCATTGCTCTGACTGGAGACCTGGGCAAGGCACCGGAAGGCAGGAGTCTTAGACTCACAGGGGGCAACCAAGAACTCAGAAAGAGGAGAGTTTCCCCAGCGAAAACACAAGCGAACATCTCCTGGGGGACTCTCAGCCCTTGTGCACCTCAGACGAGTTACCTGCCTGCCCCATTCCACCACTGGAGACATATATTTTGGGATCTTTTCACGAGCAACACGTTCGCTGCCAACCCTTTATAGATCAGTTACAAAACAGAAACTCTTCCGTACTGCTAGGGAGAAGTGTAGAAGGTGGGGGGGAGAAAGGAAAAAAAAAATCTTGCCTTTAATTGAAGGCAGGTTGGGAGACGTTCATGCTTTGAAATCCTCCTTCTTGTGAAATGTTTATGAAACACTTTCCACAAACGAGTTATGCAATCAGGACAACAGCTTTGATCGTTTTCATCACCAGTGATCTGTTCATTAGTGTGGGGCTGCTTCCCCGAGAGGGAACCATGTGAAAATGCCATGGGAGGGGCTACAGAGGAGTCCCCCAGCACCCTTGTACCCCATCACATGACCCCAAACATGGTTCATAAGGAAGTCCATGGGTCTGTCTGGGCCAGAATGCCACCGTTTCTGTCACCTACGGTCTATGCTGTCTCCCAGCCCTGGGAAGTCTGTAGTGTTGTTTTGTATAAAGGGAACCAGGGGAAAGTCAGAGGATCATTCCCTTAAGGGACTTTTCGCCGGTGTCTGGTTATGTAACTTTATACCCATCTCTAAAGCTCTCTTGGCCTCCATGAGAAGGGAAGGTAAATACTTGTCCCCACACCCCCACCTGGAAGTGTGAAGCCAAGTAAGGAATGTCTGAAGGCTTCCAGCTCCTCAGAGGGGGCTCTCTCCTCCCAGAACGAGGCTCCTGCTTTCTCCAGCAGGTGATGTCAGCGAGTTCATTGGGATTAGAAAAGATAATCACCCATGATGACTTTTTACCTCCCTGGTCACTGCCCAAGACTCAGTGTAATACCTGTAGGCAGCACAGTGGGTGGAGAAAATCCTGACCGAACCAACCCTGTCTAATAGATGGACGGGATGGTCAGTGGCTGTGACATGTCCTCAAGGATTAATCCATTCCAAGCAGAGCCTGGAGAGATGTTCCATTTGTGTGAGAAGAACCACCAAAGGGACCCTGGAGACAGTCTTCACGATTCCAGGCAGGCTGTGGGTTAGGTTGGGTTTTCACAAGTATGGGGGAAAGTGGGTTTTCATCCAATTTGCCTCCGGTTCTCACATTAGAAGTCAACGGGATTCCAACAGAAGTGTCTCTATCTCATCTTCCAGATCCATAGCCAACACCCAGTTGCCTGGAAAGGCTCCAGTCTTTTCCATTCGACAGCAGTAAAAGGGAGTTTTTGATTTGGGAAGGACTTTGTTTCTTAATTTCTTAGTTTCTTCACCCGCGAACTCTTAGAGAATTGTCTGGAGGCTGTAAGAGCCGCTAACGTATCTGCCTCACTTCTTCTCTTTTTGAGACCCACCCACCAAAGCAGAGATTTTTTTTTTTAGAATCTGTCACCGAAAAAGAAATCTCCTTTACTGTCACTCAACCTGGTTTGTATAGGACTCTCTTCCTTGGGGGCTCCTGTCAGCAGCTCACACCCATAGGCTAATGAATTAGGAGAAATGAGAGTGAAATGTCGCCGAAGCACAGCGTCACAAGCAAAACACGCAGGGTTGTCAGAACGCCCCAGCCGAACACCCCGAGGAATTTGCTGCTATCAGTCACTTCACATTTAGAAGCGGGAGGTCAGCAGTGCCCCTCAACCAGTTTGGAGGGCAATTGATCCGGGAAGCAGATGAAAGGGTGAGTGTTCTTTTATGATGGCGCTGGTTTCTGAAATTAAGTATTGCAGAAGGACCTGGCACTGACTCTAACAGATAGCACCCAGGTTGGAGGCAAAGCACATGTTTGCAAGCTCTGTCATAGCTGCACCTTCTTATCTCCATTGCGCATAATGAGTCTATAAAGGAGCTCTGCCACTCGCCTCGGAGCTGGAGCCCCGCCAAGCGGCCCGCGGTGGTTCTACCCAGTGTGGCTTTTGGCTCCGATTTTCCACGTTCTCGCTCTGTCCCCCTTCTTCCCTCCTGCCTCACCTATTCCCCCACTGGGATGACGGATGCGCCTGGGTGGGAGGGGGAGTGGAGGGTGGGGACGGCTAAAAAGGAGATGTGGGGAGACGAGGCTGGCCCCGAAAGGCTTTGCTTAAGTAAAATCTCTTCGAGCAAACCTTAAGTGTGGTGGTGGTGGTTTTAAATAAGTAGTCTTATCATCTATTTCTGGCTTTTTAAAAACCTGCTAACAAATGTTTCCCCAGAATCTAGGATGTGAAAACTCTAATTTCTAGAGGAAGAAGTAGGACACCAGAGCTGCTTAGACGGAGATGCCAAGCACGGGTGGGAGGAGCCGAGGGACCCCAGGGCTAGCGATTGGGGCGCTCTTGCAAACCCCTCCCAGGCGGCCATGCCTTCAGAGTTTTCACAAAGTCTCAGTTCTCTGTCCCCACTGTGCCACTTCCTGTCTCTCTCCCTTCCTCCTTGCTGCTTCCAAGACTCCAGAATGAGTCTCTTTAGGTGAGAGAAGAGAGAAATGATTTGTCAAGACTGTCCCTGAAAGAAGTATCATCTTCCCAATTTTGGTGCGACCAAGTCTCGTTGGTGCTGGTGTAGGTCTGCTTTAGAACACCGCCTCGGGGCCCCTGGGTGGCTCAGTCGGTTAAGCGTCTGACTCGGCTCAGGTATGATCTCATGGTTCGTGGGTTCGAGCCCCACGTTGGGCTCTGTGCTGACAGCTCAGAGCCTGGAGCCTGCTTCACATTCTTTATCTCCCTCTTACTCTGAGCCTCCCCTGCTCACACTGTCTCTCTCTCTCTCAGAAATAAATAAAACATTAAAAAAATTGTTTAGAACACCACAGCAACCTGGGCTTGCCAAGCCCGCCAAATGCACCAGGGGGCCGGAACTTGTAATTCCATTTTCAGGACTGGAAGAGAGAAGTGTCCTATAGAATCATATAACAGATGGAGAAACTGAGTCTCCTACAGGCGAAATGATTGTTCAAGTTTACATAGTAAGTTCAAGACGGGATTAGGACTTAGAAACAAGGTCTGGCTCCCTGTTCAATGTCTTCCTGACTGTATCCCTGTGGAATCTATCGAGGGATGGGATCTGTTTATGTCTTTTATGTAATTAACTTGCATTAATTCCCACTATGGGCAAAGCACCATTTTTAAGACCTTAGCTCTTTCCTCAGTCTCTGGTGCTCCTCAGTGGGGTCTTCCTAGCTCTCCAACCAAAGAGAATTCTTTCTTTAGTGATCTAAAGATTCATATCACAGCAATGAAGCACAAATATAGCTGTTAGTCTGAATGTTTAACTCGGATTAAACTAAGACAGGAGAGATTCTAGGATGTCCATGACATTCCCAGTGTAGACCAAGGAAATAGCTTAAGCCAGGACCTCTATGGCCAAGAGTTTCCATCAAAGAGTCTCCCCAGTGTCTTTCAAAAGCTATAGTCTAGATCCTATGCTCTTTGTCATATTATTCAGAATCACTTGGCTCCCCCTCCCCTTCCCAGTGGACTTCCTGAAAAGCTGCAAGAGTGTAGTTCTCACAAATAGTGCATCCATCCGGCCCTGCCCTTGGACACCTGGGAACCCCACAGGTGGGTGGTTAGTGGTGTCATCCAAGGGTGGTGGAGAGAGGCTAGAGAGGTTTTAGAAGCCATCACAGCCCTCTCCGGCTGCTGCTGCGGTAGTGACTATGAAGGAGACATGTCCCCACCTGTAGGGAGATAGGCAAAGACTGTATCATCAAAGCCATATGGGTGAAGAGGGCTGGCTGCAGAGATAGCACCACGCAGAAGGTAGATAACTGTGGAAAACAAGGTGAAGAGAGAGGGGAAGTTTGCTCCCAGACTTTGGAATCTTATAGACCAGGAAAATTTAAAAAAACAGTATGGGGAAGACTGGTAAAGTGTTGCCTTTTTTTTTTTTCTTCACTTTGTAAGGTGGGAGTTTTTAAAACACCATTGGGAAAAAAAATTGTTAATGTTTATTGAGAGAGAAAGAGAGAGAGAGAGAGAGAGCAAGGGTGGGCAGAGAAGGAGGGAAACACACAGAATCTGAAGCAGGCTCCAGGCTGTGAGCTGTCAGCACAGAGCCTGACCTGGGGCTCAAACCCACAAACTGTGAGATCATGACCTGAGCTGAAGCTGGTCGCTTAACCGACTGAGCCACCCAGGCACCCCTTAAAATACCATTTATAATCAGCCTCATTTTACAAAAGAAATTCTAACCTCTCCCCCGTAAGGAGAAAGGAACACCATCTCCAAATTTAAAAGAAAAGTTTCAAGTCTCTGCAGTATCCTTATTTTTTTCTGTTTTTAATGGGGAAGAGCTTAAACTCAGGCCTGCACAGCCCAAAGGGTGGTGCTGGGGAATCATGGATCTCCGTGACTCCCCCTCTTGCAGATTCTGACTCCAGAGTGCCATTCCCCTGCCTCTTACCAGCTGCCCTGGGCTGAGGGGCACACAGGCAGGCATATGAAGCTGCAGCCCTGTAGGCACTATAGGCACCGAACCATAGCTCTTTGCTCTCTGGGCTTGTCCCCAATCTGCCTTGACCTTCCCTGCATTTCTGTTTCTGTCTGCCTGGGGAGGCCCCGCACTGATGCTCTCCTGCCTCTACTTACACAGATTAAAACTGAGGACCTCAGCGACTCCCTGCAGCAGACCCTCTCGCATCGGCCATGTCACCTGAGTCAAGGACCCGCCATGATGTCTGGAAACCAAATGTCTGGGGTAAATGCCAGCCCGATGCTGGGGAGCCCTGATAGTCTCAGTGGGCCAGGGAGTTCAAGTCAAGCCTTCTGCAAAATGCTTGACCTCTAGACCTGGCTCTCTGTACATTCATGGTCTGAAAAGCCCCCTATAGGGAATGTGATTGAGGGATTCAGGCCTGGGGGGATGGGATTCCAGAACAACCCTCCTATAGGGGAAGCCTGGCTGCCTCTACCTCTCTGGGACAAAAAAGAGCCAGTCTTACTTGAACAACAGACCCGGAGGCTGTGGAGCTGGTGTCTGCCAGGCGTTTCAGGGGAGCCCCGTCATGACAACCATCGCTACCAATATAGAGCATTTCTGTCTGCAGTGAGCCCACTCTCCTCCCTCAAGGTTTTGCACCAAAGCCAAAGTAGAGCTGAGTGTCGTGCGGGGAAGAAGGAGGCACCCTGAAACAGTAACAGCAAACGTCTGAGCGGGCGGGTGGCCATGTGGCGAACCCCTCTCTTAGTCTGGATTACCTGGGGAAGAAATGCCACCCTTCCCTGGAAATATTTAAGACTGAAATGCGCACCCATTCCTTCACTTCTTCATTCAGCAGAGGTTTGCCACATCTTTGTGTACAGACCTAAGCCCAGCCCTCTGGGGGTGCAGAGCCCTGAGATTCTAGATGCCCCACATAATAGAGCTGGTATTTCCCCTTCGGGGGCTGGTGAGAGGAGCCCAGGGGAAATGGATTTGCTGTTTCATCAAATCGGTTGTGTTAAGAAATAATTACTTGCCCCGTCTTCCAGGAAAGCCTTAGGCCCAGGAAATGGCCAAGACACGGCGTTTCGTATAGTCAGGTGGCATGAGATTAAAAAACCGAAGTTAGACAGTCAGGATTTCTTTTTTCTTTCTTTTTTCTTTTTAATTTATTTCTGAGAGAGAGAGACAGCATGAGCAGGGGAGGGTCAGAAAGAGAGGGAGACACGGAATCTGAAACAGGCTCCAGGCTCTGAGCTGTCAGCAGAGACTCCAACGCGGGGCTCGAACCCACGAACCGCGAGATCATGACCTGAGCCGAAGTCAGATGCTTAACTGGCTGAGCCACCCAGGTGCCCCAACAGTCAGGATTTCATGTCGTTTCTAGGGTAAACCTCTGAGAGATGGGTAATGCTCAGCCTGTGCCTTCGACATTTACCATCTCCTTGGGAGACAAGACGAACACACACAAAAGTTAAATAACAAGGCAAAGTTTAAGTACACTGGGCTGCGAGGCACTGCCTGGCGGAGGGCGGGGGCTGTGACAGTGCCAGCATTAATGGAATCGTTCCTACGTGCCAGGCACTTGAGCTACGCAGAGGCATAAGGCAAGGTCACTGCCAACACACTCTCAGAGTCTGGAGCCCCACAGGACAGATGGGCAGCAGGCAGATGGAGTCAGCACTCCCAGCGTGTAAATTCGGTGATGTATGTATCTCTCCGTGTGCAGGACATGACCCCCCTCCATCCACTCCAGCAGCTCGTGCTGGTTCCTGGCCACCTACAGTCCGTGTCCCAGTTCCTCCTCTCTCAGACCCAGTCTGGGCAACCAGGTAAGAACTCTGGCGTTTTCTGCATCAACTGAGTCCAGCAAAGCGCGGCTGCGGCTTCAGACGAAGGAGCCCGAGTGTGGGGCGTGGGTGAGTGGCTCACCCCTCTGGCATTAAGACCCGAGGAGGGGACCCTGGCATTGCCCCCTTCAGGCTGAGAGTCCTCTGCTCTTCCCTCTCCTCTTCCTCAACTTCACAGCCAGGAGAGACTGAGGGGCAAGTTGGCAAGGAACGGGGGTACGGGGACTGGGGAGGGGGGGCCAGAGGGGAGCAGTACAGGAAGGAAGAGCCCCTTTGGATACGCAATGCACACGGGTCCCAGTTCCTTGGAACTCTTTCAGGACTGATTCAGATTTTCACCTCCAGGAAGCTGGCCGTGACTCTGCTTGGGTAGAGCGGCAGTGCCATCCACAGGTGGTAGAAGGGGTTTTCAGATTTTCTTTGGTGTGGAAATCACTACCAGAGAGACTGGTTCCTGGGCCAAGACCAAACAGATTAGAATATTCATGATAATAGCTAGTATTTCTTGAGCGTGATTTACCAGGAGCTCTGACAAGTGATTTTCCTGGCATTTTTCAAAATAACCTTGTGTGGTAGACAGTCCTAGTGTGTCTCTGGTGACCATCTGAGACCTGTGTTCTTGGCCGTTGTCCTGCACTGCCCCCACCCCCCACCCCCCACCTCCACCGAGTGGGGCCAAAGTGATGGAGGGAGTACGGTTTTTCCACCAGTGTATAGATCCCAGGCAGAGGCTTCGGAAACCGAGATTCCAAATAAAATGCAGCTCTGCCATCCATCCCTAACACTGCGCCAATCACAGTCCACAGCCCTAGGTTCTGAGGCATCTCAGAGTATTTTTATAATGATGAATGAAAACATACTTGAGCCTTTAAGTATTTATTTTAGCGAAACAATGTATATCATATGCCGGGGTAGCAGTTAATTTCCTTTCTGTTTAAAAGATCGTGATGTGAAAATGGCCCAGACATATATATATAACCAATGAGGCCAGGGTGTGATGCAGGGCAAAATAAACAAACAAACAAAATTTGAAGGCAGAAGATACATTGGTTAAATTTTTTTTTTTTAATTTTAAGAATCACTTACTAGATGTGTGTCCTTGGGAAAGTTCACCTAACCTCTCTGAATAAAAACGGAGCAAAATAAAATAAAGTGGAATAATAGTCAGAAATTGAAAATTGGTGAAATTCCACCTCACAAGGTTATTGAGAGTTATTTGAAATAATGCATATGCGAAAGCTTCATGTATTTTGAAACGCAGTATAAATGCTAGATTACTATTAGCCCTTCAGCCTCTGACTCCTGGTTCAGAGCTCCTTATGAGAGATTTTTATTTCTTTTTATAAGGAAAATTAAGCCCTGACTTTTATAGACTGAGGAGCATAAAGGTCAATGTCAACAGATGCCGCACATCAGAGACTTGGAGCCACTTAGGGACAACAGAGACCCCAAGGTTCTGGTCTGTGCTGAGTGGTTGGGGTGACCCGCCCCATTGTCTGCTCTGGTCGCTTGATAGCTCTATTCCTGCAGCGACAGTGTGAGCTCCTGGCTGTGGTCCTTCCTACAGGGAGGCCACTGTCATGACCACCAATCAGGCAGAGCCCTTCATGGTCCGTTTTCCTGGAGAGTTAAGGAGAAAGCAGGCCTCAGACAGTACAACGAGCAGACAGAGGCCATACCACCAGATTAGAGTTTCCAGAGGCTTGGGCCCTGGTCTTCTCTCTCAGCCCTTCCTCCCAAGTAGAAAATGTCTTCATTCTGCCAAGAACCTCTGGCCAGTGACTGGCCGCCTTTTGGAGCTCTCTGGCCCCATCTGTATGGTCTGGCCTATTTGTGGATTTGCACAGGCTTCTGTGGCCATCGAGCTACCCCTGCGGGCAAAATGGAGCTCCTCAGCGCCTCTGCTCTTGCTGCGTTTCCTTCCCTGTTGGATTTCTTCAGCCTGGTTATCAGCTCCCAGAGCAGGCTGGCCTTGACCCTGCTCAGCCCGTGCCCCACTCCAGGGCAGGCGGGTGGGCAAGCCAGAGGACTGGTTTGGGGATTGCTGTTTACCTGTTTATTCGTGTCTTGTTCACCTCCGCCTGTGTGTGGCAATGCCAGTGCCTGTGGGGGCCCTTTTCACAGGACTTGAGGTGGGTTGAGGGGCCTGACGAGGTAGCAGGGGGTGGGGACAGTTACCTCGGTTCCGAAGCCGTGGAGCCTGGATTTTATTTTGTTTGTTCCTTTGTCCCTCCCCTTTCCCTCAGGTCTGCAGCCAAATCTTCTCCCCTTTCCACAGCAACAAAGCTCTCTCCTCCTCCCGCAGACTGGGCCTGGCCTGGCCTCCCAGGTAAATAACCGCATTGTTCCTGTTTCCCCTAAGAATGGCTCAGCTCTTGATGGAGAGGCTCACTGGTTTTCCCACCCCCTTGACGGTGTGCTTATGCCTCTGGGAAGAGGAACTAGCAAAGGCTTATCCTTGTTCACACAGGAGGAATCCAAGCCCCCGCCAGGAGAAATGACTGACCCAGTATCACCAACTGCGCTGGGATTCGAGCCCAGATTTCAGCTCCCAGGCTAGTCGGCTACACCAGCCCCGATCAGGCCCTGCTTTCACTCCCTCCTCTTAGGACCAGGGGTCAGCTGACTTTCCAGGGGTGCCATGGTGACCGCCAGCTCTAGTTGGGTCTTTTCAAGCCTCAAGGAGGAGACCAGAGTCCCATAGGCCTGATCCCAAGACCACAAAGCCACACTCTAGCCTCTGGGTCCCTCTTAAGACCCAGTATCCTAGACTGCCTCCTGCAGTGTGCACGTGTGCGGATCAGAGGTCTGAGATCTGCAAGAGGGGCTGTTAGCAGACTTGCCATGTTGCCCCACGGTACCCGTTTGCCAGTTAGAAGAAAGCACCTCTTCCTCTGGCCGGATGAGGCCTCACGCCAGGTGTGTGGTCTGTTAAGAGCTGTATGGTAGCTGCCGCTCCTCCTCTCATTGGGGTGCCCCTGTGCCCAGCTGCAGGAGACGGTTCTGCAGAGACAGGTGTGCAGAGACAGGTGTGCAGAGAGCTGGGAAGGATCCCAGAGCCCCACCGTCCCTTCTGTGCGCTAAGATCCCCGTGGATCACTAAGGGCCCCGGCTCTAGAGGGCTAGAGTGTTCACTGAAGACATCAGGAAGGGGAGAGGGTGCCATCTAGTGGTTAATAGGCATGGGGACACTCAAGTCCTAAACTTCACTCACTCAGACTGTCATCATAGACTTACATCTGGAAGAGATCTTATAGAGGCCCAAGATCAGCTCTCACATCTTATGACACGAGAAGCCAAGAGGCTGTTCAGAAGGTTATTAAGATTGTCCAGGGAAGTGGTAATAGGGGACTTGCTTAGGGTTGTGACAGTAAGAGTAGAGAGGAAAGGGCAAAGGAGGACATATTTTGGGAAGATGATGACTGCAATTTGGTATCTCATTGGATGTGAGAGGAAGAGAGAAGAAAGTTTAGCGAAGAGCTAGAATTTGTTAAAGAAGAAACGAATCAATGAAAAGGAAGTCTCAAAGAGGGCTGAGGCTTTCCACCCCATCCTGCAGAACAGGATCAAACCCATGAGGCTTCTGAATCATTCTGTTCTAAAAGATCCTTCGCCAGGGTCCTTTTACCTTCCTCGTCCTAAGGCTGCCCATCTGAATTATAAAATCTGCAGGTCTCGGAAGAGAGAAGGAGGTAAGTTAACCTTAGTCTAGGAAAAGAGTAAACTAGGAAGGAGAGAGAAGACGGTGGATATAGGCAGTGTGGTCTACATGGACAGTGGTCCCTGGACGGGACACAATGCCTGGACCCCTTGGTCTGGGTTCCATTGCTTGTGCAATGGTGGACCTCTTCAGGAGGGGGATTCAATCCAACCCCAAAAGGGCACAGCATCAACTCAAGGTTTTAGAGTCCATTTTTCTATGAAAATGAACTACAGGAAGAATATCTCCTGACAACCATAAATGAGATAAATGAGATAGCCCTGGACTACTTTTGATTTAAAAACAAAAAAACACAGGGCGCTTGCCCAGCTCAGCCGGTGGAACATGCGACTCTTGATCTCGGGGTCATGAGTTCAAGCCCCCCACTGGGTGTCAGGATTGCTGAAAAAATAAATAAAAAAACTTAAAAACGAAAGAAAAACAAACACACAAAACACACCCAAACAAGACTCTCATGAAAGAAAATGAGGGTTAGAAAGTAAAATAGCAGTCATAAGTGTCTAAAATTTTCTGGAAGTTCTATTAATATCACAAGTCTCAGATGTTCTGTTATCTTCAGTTAATGCCTGTTAAACACCTCAGTTACCCTGCTTTGTGGAAAAGAACAGGCAAGGCAAACAACCTTTTCCTTGTCTCATTCTGAGATTTGTTTTTGGGATCTTTGTAAACAACCCAGCTGTTCCTTTTATGGTGGAAAGTTGAAAGAAGGAAGTTACCTGCTCAGAGTCAAACAATGAGTCATAGACTAAACTCCAGGAAGGCCACCTCCCTGTCCCACACTCCTGCGCTGCCCCAGCTATTCTAGCTATTTGCTAACCCTTTGTAGCAATCCCAGTTTCCACTTCCAAACCATTGAAAAAATAGGAATCAAGTGTACCCAGAGATCTGTCATCTTCTAAGTGGGCCCCTTAGTATACAATAGAAAGTGCCATTTTTTTTTCTACGTCTTTGTTTTGAGAACAGGGACAGAGAGCGAGCAGGGGAGGGGCAGAGAGAAAAGGAGACACAGAATCTGAAGCAGGCTCCAGGCTCTGAGCTGTCAGCACAGAGCCCGACATGGGGCTCAAACCCATAGACTGTGAGATCATGACCTGAGCCGAAGTCGGACGCTTAACCGACTGAGCCACTCAGACGCCTCTAGAAAGTGACATCTGATCTGAGCCATTGTGGATCTGTTTGACCTGTGTTCCCTCTTAGGCAATTGGGCGCCCCGGGCTGCCAGGATCTTCTTTAGAACCCCATCTAGAAGCGTCCCCACATCTCCCTGTGACAAAGCATCTACCCAGCTCTTCAGGGGCCGATGAGCCCAGTGACCTGGAAGAGTTGGAGAAATTTGCCAAGACCTTCAAGCAGAGGCGCATTAAGCTGGGCTTCACACAGGTTTGGTTTGCGGGGAGCTAGAAGGAATTGGGTTGAGTGAGTGGAGACTGGGCTTCCTGAGTGTACATTTCAGGAGGAGCCTGATGTTCAGTGTGTTTTCCCTGAGAATAGGGAACAGTTTCTATTGGTAAGGAAACCAGGAAACACTGCTGGGAAATGATGGGAAGAAATGAGAGCCAGACAAGGCGTTGGGCACATGGGCCTGGTCCACTCAGAGCCTGGGGAGGGAAGTGAACCAAATTCTCCCTCTTAGAGGGGAAAAAGCTGGAAAGGAGCCAATAGGGGGGCGTCTGAAGGTTCTCTGGGTGCATGATTGGCACCAGGCTGGTGGGGAACGTGGACAAAGAAGAGAAAGAGCCCTTCCCTCCAGCTTCTCCCTCTTGATCCCCGCATGCAGGGAGATGTGGGGCTGGCAATGGGAAAACTATACGGGAATGACTTCAGCCAGACCACCATCTCGCGATTTGAGGCCCTCAATCTGAGCTTCAAGAACATGTGCAAGCTCAAGCCCCTGCTGGAGAAGTGGTTGCACGATGCAGGTAGGCGGCGGGGGCTCAAGGATGGATGATGCCCCAGAGGATTCTGCAGGGGAAGGGGCTCATGACTTGTCTGGCTTGAGGTTTTAGGCAGCCAAATATGTAAGATGCCTTCTCCTCCTGAGCCTGGGACCATTTGCGACATGACAGAGGAGGCAGGCAAGGGGAGAGGGAAATGTTGGCCTCGTTGCTGAGAAGGCCCTTTGGAGGAAATGGCTTTAGATCTGTGGCCATGAAGACTTGGCCTCATTCCATTCTCTGCCCTACAGTCACCCAGTCTAGACCTGAAGACAGCTCACCAGGGACAAAATTTGAGCCTGCAGGACAAACACACTTACCTTGCTCTCTGGACCGCTTCTAGTTGGGAAGTGGGTTCTCCAGGGTCTCCTAGGGGAGACGGGAAGGCAACAGGCACAACCCAAGCCCTTCATCTGGCTGACCTTGAGCAGGTCTCCAGGGCATAGGGAGCTACTGTGAGCAAGACTAGTGGGGAAGGTCCTATAGCAGGAGCGAGGCCTGCAGGATTCTGTCGGCTGGGTGGCCTGAGAGGCATTCCAGGAGGTCAAGGGTATAAGCCAAGGTCAAAATGTTTAAAATACTGACTGTGAGAGGTTGGTGTCTGGGAACAGTGTGTGTGTGCGTGTGTGACAGGTTCTCACCATGGCACTATCAACATCTTGGGCCAGAGAATTCTTGGTTGGGAGAGGCTGTCCTATGAATTGTAGGGCATTTAGCAGCATCCTTGGTCTCTACCCATTGGATGTCAGCAGTACCTGCTGCCCATTGAGACAAACAAAAATGCCCCCAGATATGCCACATGTCCCCCGGGGCATGGGCATGGTGCAGAACCGCCCCAGCTGAGAACCACTGGTGAAGGCAGAGAGAAACAACAGAGCTGGCGCCGGGCTGGGCTCTAGTCAGAGACACATGTTGATGAGTACTTCCTGTGCAGAGGAAGGAAAGGGTGGGATGGGCAGCCATGGAGGTCGGTCACACCCTTGGAAGTCCCTCTGCGAGGAAACACGGAAGGTCAAGGAACCTGTCCCCAGCAGCTTGTCCCTCTGGCACCTTTCTTCAGGGCACTGAAGTGAGAGAGATGATCAGAGGGCCTTAGGATCTTTGGAAAGAGATCTTACAGGTTGTTTCTAGTGCGTCTCTCCTACCTGACATCTGAATCCTTCCTGTGGGGCATCCCTGCCCACTCATCATACAGCTTCAGCTCTGACACTTACCCTGAAAAGAAAGTGACATCAACACCAGCATTCTGCCACCACGTGCCATTGCTTTTAGCTCAAAACAGCAGTTTCAATTTTACTGAGGATCCCTATCCAAGCAGCCTTGGAAAAGACCCATGAGTGTTCCTTGTAGGAGCCCTAGCCTGCACTCACACACACCCACACATGCCACTGATGTCTGAGTGTCCCTGAGCCATGACTGCAAACAGTGGAGGCACTGATGTGGGAGTCATGGAGGACCTTTGCCCAGAGCAGTGAGGAGAAGCAGGATTCTTGGCCTGTTCTGGTTCCCCTGCTGTGGGGGGGAAGGGGGCTGGTCCTGAACGAGCCACCACAGAGCCCACCGGGAAGCAGTGGTGGACCTCAAGGCCATTAACACAGAGCATTAACTGGCTGTGCTTTCTCTTCTCTGAGCTTCCTTTGCCTTTCCACCTCCCAACAGAAACCTCTCCATCAGACCCCTCGGGGAGCACCCCCAGCTCTTTCCCCACCCTCAGTGAAGTGTTCGGTAGGAAGAGGAAGAAACGGACCAGCATCGAGACCAATATCCGCCTGACTCTGGAGAAGAGATTTCAAGATGTGAGCGGCTCCTCCGGGTGGGAACGGGTGGGCTGATGTGCACAGTTGGATGAGTGGACACACTCAGGCCCCTCGGTGCCACACCTACTCTGGGAAAGGGTCGGAAACCAAGCACAGGCACCCTCTCCAGGCACCCATGTGTCCCAGTGAGAGGGTGACTTCATCTTGGGTTTCAGGAACTTCTTCCTCCACTGACCCTTCTTGCCTTGATATTTTTAGAGGGCCCATTGACTCTCTCACTGGGAGAGTTAAATAATGGGATATGGTCGGGGTTGGGGAGGGCACCTGGGTGGCTCAGCTGGTTAAGCATCCAACTTCAGCTCAGGTCATGATCTCGCAGGTCCCGAGTTCGAGCCCCACGTCTAGCTCTGTGCTGACAGCTTAGAGCCCGGAGCCTGCTTTGGATTCTGAGTCTCCCGTTCTCTCCGCCCCACCCCTGCTTGCACTCTGTCTCTATATCTCTCAAAAATAAATAAACATTAAAAAAAAAAAAAAAAAGACTGGGATATAGGGTCCCAAAAGAGGGTGGATCTCTGTATCCAGCGGAGGCAAAGGGAGCAAAGCCAGAACACTCTATATACATTCTTTCTTTTTTCTTTTCTTTTCTTTTCTTTTTTTTTCTTTTCCTAAGTATAGTTGACATACAATATTATATTAGTTTCGGGTATATGGCAGAGATTCAGCATTTTTACCCATTACAAAATGCTCATCATGGGGGCACCTGAGTGTCTCAGTTGGTTGAGTGTCCGACTTTGGCTCAGGTCATAATCTCACGGTTCATGGGTTCGAGCCCCACATCAGGTTCTGTGCTGAATGCTTGATCAGAGCCTGGAGCCTGTTTCGGATTCTGTGTCTCCTTCTCTCTCTGCCCCTTCTCTGCTCATGTTCCATCTTACTCTGTCTCTCAAAAATAAATAAATGTAAAAAGAAATGCTTTTTAAATGCTCATCATGATATGTATAGTTCCCATCTGAAATTCTTTACTTTCTATGCTTTGGTTTGTATTTTTAGAATTATGAATGTAGTAAATGCTCACTGGAAACAATTAGGAAAATATAGGGAAGTAGAAAGAAAAAAAATCTACCATCAAATGGCATCTAAATATATTTCCTTCTGTTTCTTTCTTCCGCACACATTTAAATACTTGTGATCATAGAATATGATACATTTGTTTGAACTTGTAGCAAAAGCATATTCCTGAGCCAGTATGTAGAAGCTAATAATAATACCAGCTTTGTGCCCTGTGGGAGCTGGGGAAGAGAAGAAGGAAAAACAAGTGTGGTCTAAACAGCTTCTAATCAGGATCCCTTGGATTCCAGCCTTCAGAGCCTCCATCCACACCATACAGGTCCCTAAAGGATGTGCCCTTGGCCTCATTTCACCTTGTGGGCTCCAGGCCTCCAAGACCGCTGCCCACTCCAGTGAATCCGCCAGTGCATCTGGCTCAAGGATTTGATGGCCGCATCCTGCTGGCTGGATGACAAGAGCTGGCTTTTCCTGGTGATTAGGTTTCTGGGAGCAGCCTGAGGAAGGGAGGGGGTATGTAGGAAAGAGGGGAGGGGGCTGAGATCAAAGATTGGGTGGAGGGAGAGGTTGGAACAAGAAAGTGCTGCGTATATATGTCTCCACAGTCTTGAGTCCACATGCTTCAGCTTATCTTTTCCTATTTTGAGGAAACAGGAAGCCATAACACCAGAAAATGTTATCAGGTTATGCGGTGAACATGGGGTTCGGGATTCTACCTGCCCCATACGGCTGTCAAAAGACTTCTCTTTTCAGAACTTCTCCTGAAGTAAGAAGTGAAAGAAGAGAGCTACGTTTTTGGATCCTCTGTTCTGTGGCAGGCCCTGGGCTTGACAGTTTACACACGGTTTCTCACTTTATCCTCGCAACTATCCTATACAGCAGGTGTTATTGTTCTTACTTCATACGTGATAAGGCTGAGGCTCAGAGAAGTTAAGAAAGGTTCCTAAAGCCACACAGTAAATGATAAAGCCAGTATTCCATCCTGGGTCTGATTCTAAAACTTTTGATCCACCTATCGGTCTATCTTGTTCCTTGGAACATCGGGCCCCCACCCCTGATCCTTAACCCTGCTCCCCTTTCCTGCTGACCACACTCTGTCCCTTTGGTTGGTCTCCGCAGAACCCCAAACCCAGCTCAGAAGAGATCTCCATGATTGCGGAGCAGTTGTCCATGGAGAAGGAGGTGGTGAGGGTCTGGTTCTGCAATCGACGTCAGAAGGAGAAGCGAATCAACTGCCCCATGTCCGCACCCATCAAACCTCCCATCTACAACTCCCGCTTGGTGAGTGGCCAAGAACCAAGTACTGGAGGGCGGGAGGTGGGGGGGTGGGGGGGGTGGGGTAGAATAGAAATGGTGCCTGGAAGGTAGAGTCTTCTCCAACCTGGGGAAGATGGCGGTCAGGAGTTGAGAGGGGCGTACGATAAATAAATAGGCAAATAGATGCTGTGTGTCACATAAACATAATATAAAGGAGAATAAAGAAGGATAAGGGGAATGAATGTAACTATGAGGAGATGCTTTTTTAATAGAGAGGTCAGAGAGGACCTCCCCGGTAAGGTGACATTTTAGTAGAGCCCAAAGTGTAGAAAATGAATGAGGTATCTAGAAGAAAGAGTGGTCCAGGCAGAGGGATCAGCAAGTAAAAAAGGCCTGGCATGTTTGAGGAACAGAAGGAAGCCAGTGTGGCTGGGGCAGAATGAGGAAGGAGGCGAGTATAGGAGGGGAAATGGGAGACGTAACGTAGAGCAGACCACTCAAGGTCATGGAGGTCAGCAAAAGTTTGTACGAAATAAGCCACTGGAGAGCTGTGAGTGGAGAAGCCTGAACTGGCTAATGTGGAGAATAATCTATGTGGAAAAGAAACTCCAGCGAGGAGAACTACAGTAACCAGGCTGAGAGTAGAGGAAGCTTGGGCTAGGGTGGTAGCCATGATGGTGACAAGAAGTGGTTGGATTCTGAATATACATCAGCCATGGAGCCAATAAGATGTGCTGAGAGCTCAGATATGGAATGTGAGAAATGAGGCCAAGATGAATTCAAGGGTTTTGGTGTGAGCAACTGGTTGGAAGGTGCTCTGCCATTTTTTTTTTTTAAGATGATGAAGAAAGCCAGAGGTACAGGTGTGGGGGTTGGGAGGGGGAATTAAGAACTCGGAGCTGGTCAGATTAAGCTGGACATGCCTTTTAAGGATCCGAGAGGAAGTGTCAAGTGGACAGTTATGTCTGTGATTCTGGCTGTCAGGGGGAGAAGTCAGGGCTGGGAATAACTTGGAAGTTTGGGAGTAGGAGATATTTTCTCCATCCAGGGAAAGATGGTGCCTGGAGGAACATTCTTCTCCTTTATCCCTAGGGACGCTAGAGTTGGAAGGGAACAATGCCACAGTCCTCAGATCTGTCAGCACTCAAGGATGGGTGAGACTCAGCCTTGTCTGGAGTGGAACATAACTGTTCCATCAAAACGTGTTTCATTCTTTCACCAAACATTCCTTTAGCATCTACTATATAATGAACTTTGTGTAGAGTTCTGGGGATACACAAATAAATAATACCTGTCCCCTGTCCCAGAGGATCTCACCACCTAGCAGAGGAGACAAAGAAACAAATGATAAACAACATGATAATTTCTCTAGGAGAATTTAGGAGTTACAGCTAACAAAGCCTTGCAAAGGTGGTGGTTAGAGAAGGCTTCCCCAAGGAGATAATTAATACCTGAGCTGAGTCTAAAATGACAAGGAGTGAAGAGGCAAATAAGTGTGGGGTGGAGTTCTCCGGGGGGGTGGGGGGGGGCGTGTGGGAAGTATAAGAACAGTAGCAGGAAACAGGGAAAGTTTATGGCATGTTCCTGGAACTATACGTGGTACCCTGTAAAGGGAGGTTGAATGATGAAGCTGGACAGACCAGCAAGGGCCAGACTGAGGGGCCTACGTACAATGCTAAGGAGACGGCTTGGAGAAGTCACTTAAGGATGCTGAGCAGGCCACTGACACAGTCAGATTTGCTCTTTAGAACGATCACTCCAAGCGCAGTGTAAAGGGTGCAGAGAGTTTGAGAGACAGAAGACTGGTTGCAGGGAGACCAGGTAGGATGTGGCTCCAGTTACCCAGGAAAGAGATAATGAGGGCTGAAGCAAAGCTAGGGGCAAGAAAGAGGGGGAGGGAGAGAGTCAAGAGATAATGAGAAGGTGGAATTATTGGGTCTGGGGTAATGAAATGGAAATCGGGTAGGGGCAGGGAAATGACGAAGGAAAGAGAATACTCTGGGATGACTCTCAGCATTCAGGTTGGGCTGATGGGCCAAGGGATTGCACCATTGATGGGACAATCAGACACTGGAGAAGGAGCGGATTCAGGAGTAGGAAAAAGTGATGCTTTCCCTTCTTTGCATCATTATAATGTCGCGTGAGGCCTGTGGGACCCCCAAGTGGGACTGTCCTTGGGCACTTGGAATGATGGGTCTGGAGGTCAGGAGAGAAGGCCGGGATGGAGGTGTGGATCAGGGAGTCATAAGCATAAGGTGGTGGTTGATATCCTGGGGGAGGAGGAGCTCAGCTATGGTGTTTGTACAAAGGAGCCAAGAAAAAAGTCTAGATCTTAACCCTGGGGAATGCCAGCAGGTGAGGGACAGGTAGGGGAAGAAACTAAGAAGGAGGAGCCAGAGGAGGCAAGAGATTGCAGTGAAGGAGATGTGAGAAGCCCTGTAAGAGTGCTCTGGGAGCGCAGACAAACGCAGATGAGAGACACTCCAATCAGAATGGAGTCTGGGAGGGCTGCCCCCTAATTTGTTCTTTAAACAAATTAAGAATTAGTAAGAACACCATACCAGGCAGGAAGAACCATCTGTGAGAAGGCACGGGATTATAAAACAATGTGCTGCATTTGGGGAATCACAGTGTTGCCATCTGGCTGAAGCTAAGGTTCAGGGACTAAGTCAGGTTGATGAGAGCTGGCTCACGATGGGCCACAGGTACCAAATTACCCTGCAGGCTGGGAGAAAGCAATGAAAATGTTAAGTTGGAGGCAAAGGATATTCATTCGTTGTTCTTTTCTTAAATATTTATTGAGCACCTACCATATGTTTGGCACTCGGACATGGTGGTACACAGGATGCGTATGATCCCTGTTCGCAGTCCAGCAGGGAAAACAGACACTAAGCAAATGCTCTTTGTCATGAAATCTCTAGAGGAGATGGAAGGGGATTTAGAGGGACCTAACCTGGTCCCGGGTGTCAGGGGCTCCTTGGAGGAAGGATGTTCAAACTGGCAGCAGAAGAATGGGTAGATGTTAAGGGGGCTCGGGGGTGCACAGGGAGGACAGAGCTTAGGGAAGAACATTCTGGGCAGAGAAAAGAGTGTATGCAAAGGCCTTGAGGCTGGGATGGGTAGGGAGGAGGAAGCATAGAAAGCTGGCATGGGGTGGAACCCAGGGGATGAATGAGTGTGAATGAGGAGCCTGGAGTGGTAGGCGGGGGCTAGATTATGTCAGGCGTATCAAGGAAATGGAACCATGTCATAAGAACATTGCAATCTTTAAACACGGGGCTTTGGGAGGTAGGTTCTCACTTTGGTCCAACCCCAACCCAAGACACCCACATGGAGAAAAGCAGTGGGAGGCATGGGGGAGCTGGGAAGGAGCCTGATTCGTTCTCTTCATTCAGCCTTTATTTACTGAGCACCTACAAAGTTCTAGACACTGTAGTAGACCTGCACAGGCATCACCCTGCCCTTGTAAGGACTACAGCCTAGTTGGGGGGGGGGAGGGGGAGAAGATGGTAAATGAATAATTACATTAATGCTTGTGATGTTACAGAGGCAGCAGATAGAGAACATGTTCTGACCCTATCTTCTCCTCAGGCACAGTCTCCTTGGGATTAGGACACAGTTTCTTCTGCTTCTGATATGAAGTGATCCTCAGAATATACAGTTAAGCAAAAAAACAAAAACAAAAACAAACAAAAAAAACCCAAAAAGCAAAACAAAATGGTGCAAACCAGTGTGGGCAGAATGCTAGCGAGCGATTATATAAAAAATTAAAAAGGGGGAGCCTTATATACATCTGCTTGCATACGCATAGCCTGCCTCCAGAAGGAAACAGAAGAGGCTGGTCACAGTGACTAAACACATTATTTATTTTCAAACAACAACAAATGTCTTGGGTGTGGCAGTAGGGAGGAGAGGAGGAGAAGAGGGAGAGAAATCATTGATAACATCTCTTACCAGGAGGCCCCACACCTGTCTCCACCCTTCGTGGGCCCCCAGCCTACTGAGGAGGCTCATTGTAAGAGGGCAGGTAAATGAAGAGAGCAGGACCGGAGCTGATTAATTGGGAAACGAATACATGCCGCATCCTGTTGGGATGAGATGATCCGAGCTGGGGAGGGGAGGAATATCAAATCACAGCTCCCTGAGAACTTCCTTCCAATGTCCTTTGAAAACATTGATTGGAGCTTCCCCTGTCGGCAGGAGAAGAATAAAGGAAAGTCAAGGTGTGCAGATGTCAGCTCAAATGAAGAGGTGACCAGTGTCCAGAGACAGTTGACAGCTTCCTTTCGGGGAGGAAGGGAACTAATACTTAACAAGCCTGGTACTCTTTGCCAGGCATTGAGTTGGAAGCTTTATGGACATTATCTTATTAAATCTTAATTAAAAGGAAATAGAAGGGAGGTATTACCTCTGTTTCATGGATGAGAAAACCAGATCTCAACGGGGTTAGGTAACTTGCCCAATGTCACATGGATAGTTATGGGGGAGCCAGGTTCTCATCCCCAGATCTGTTGGGCCCTGATGTCTGTTCTTTCTATGACATCCTTTTCCAGGTCGTGCTAAGGCAGTAATTCTTAAGGGGGGAGAGTCCTGAAACGTAAGGAGGTTTAAACTGAATGATCGTAAGTCCCTTCCCAATCTCCAAGTTGGCAATGTTGTGAGGTCTCCAGGGGAAAACAAAAGTTCAGCTCCTCCTGTTTGCTTCGAGGAGTGAATGGTCCACCTAGACACCAGGCCAGGAATCCCGAAACAGGGTTGTTAGGGCCGGGCTCTGCTGTACTGAGCAAAGGGATCTCTTAGAAAAAAAGAACTAGGCACCGGCCAACCAACAACAGTGTCTGTCATAGCGGGGAGCCAAGCCCTCTGCTCGGCAGCTTCACCCTGGCAGTGCTGAGGTCACCTCGTCAGGGGACACAGCGGGGAGGGCAGGGCCCAGTGTCTGCAGCAGGGAGCTGGTGCCGGACTGGACCTGGAGCACATGCTGTATGTGGTCCAGAGGCCTTCTTCTGGAAGCGGGGGACAGAGTGTAGGTTTGGAGCTAGGCAGTTGGCACGGATGCTGAGTTCTACTGTCTGCAGTCTGCGGCCCCGCACCCTGGCAGAAGCACTCAGGATTGGAGAAGGGAGCAGACCCAAGACACTTACAAGCTTCTGTTGCCTTCCAGGTCTCTCCCTCTGGGTCTCTGGGCCCCCTCTCTGTCCCTCCTGTCCACAACACCATGTCTGCAACAGGTGAGCTTTACTATGGGGTTTCTTAATAACTCCAGAATTCCTTTAAATAATGGGACGGTAGACCTGAAAGGTGACTACGTCAGCATTCCTTAAATGTATTTCGATGGCTATTAAAATCTGTGCTAGAAGAAGGGTTTTGTGATCATGTAAGTTTGGGAAATGCTGAAGAAGCAAAGTTTTTTTTTTTTTTTAATGTTTTATTTTCTGAGAGAGAGAGAGAGACAGCATGAGCAGGGGAGGGTCGGAGAGAGAGGGGAGACAGAATCTGAAGCAGGCTCCAGGCTCTGAGCTAGCTGTCAGCACAGAGCCTGACGTGGGGCTCAAACCCATGAACCATGAGATCATGACCTGAGCCGAAGTCGGACGCTTAACTGACTGAGCCCCCCAGGCGCCCCTGAGGAAGCAAAATTTAAAACTAGTGTTTGCTTTCTGTTTTAGCAGCCATCCTTTCTCAGCACCGGAGTGCATTTTACATCCCTGAATGAGCTGTAGAGAAGGCAGGGTTTTCCAAACCAATATTCTGCAGCACTCTTATTTTTCAAAAAGTACCTATAGCCTTTCAAAGAACTAGGAGAGTGACCATATGTCTGCATGTGCCCAGGACAGCCCCAGTGTCTGCCTCTTGTTCGCACATAATCAATCAATAGCACTGCTGCCCCCTCTTCAAGGTATCTTGGCTTGCTTGGATGGTGAGATATCTGTCCCCTTATTCACGGATGCTGTTTGGGAAACCCAAAAACAAGCATCCAAATCTGCTCTTTTACAGAAGACAGAAATGAGTTTGAGGGGAGCGAAGCCAGATGCCACAGGTCAGAGCTGCTTAGCAAATGGCCAGGGACCGAGGCTTGCTTGGACCTCCTGTGTCCTGGCTGTGCTCTTTCTAGGAGATACACGGCTATCTTTCAGTGGAGATGCGGACACGAGAGAGGCTGGCGATCTTTAATTGCGCCTTCAGATGCTCTTTCCCTCCCCTAGTCCCTTTCTTCTCTTTCCTCCTTTCCTCCTTTCCGAGCTTTCTTGTTCTTTTCCCCCTCCCACCTCTCAGTCTGGGGCTACATACGCCCGGCCCAGGGTGTGTCCTAGAGTAGGATGATTTTGGCATCTGTCCCTTTTGCGTTTGGCAATTCTTGGACTTGCAGAACCAGCCACGCCACTCTCCAGGGCCGGGCGCACTGAGAAGAGCATTTATGAGAGCCCCTCTGGGCCCGGGTGGATGCAGACGCGGCAGGAGGTGTGGGCCCACACGGGGGGGGGGCGGTGCAGGGAGGGAGGGGCCGGGAGTTCCTTGGGGATACACGTCTGAGGGGCCAGGTCACGAGGTCCCAGAACCCAGCACCATTATTTTCCCCTTGTTTTCGCCTCTCCTCGTCCTCAGTAACGTCATCCTGTTCCCCTGGGAACAGCAGCGGACCTTCATCTCCTGGCTCCGGACTCCACGCCAACAGCCCCACTGCATCTCAAAATAACTCCAAAGCAGCAGTGAGCGCCTCCGGTTTTAACTCTTCGGGGTAAGGCGGAGGAGAGAATACCGAGACATTCCAGCGGGGGCCAAGGGACCGTGCAAGAAGTTGGGTCGATCCTTTGGGAAAGAGCGCTTGCCACTTTCTTGGAGAGGAGAGTTGGGGTGGCGGGGCGGGGACAGCGTACACAGCCAGGCTGGACCGTATCCCTAGAGAGTGGGCTTTTAAAGAGAAGCTTCGGCCAGTCAGCAGCCCTGGCAAGAAGCTGATGTCAACAAAGCCAATATTTCCACCCTCACTGGGAGGGTGGAAATTTCCAAACGCTCCTGTGAGAAAGGGCCAGGTCCTTCAGTGGGCTTAGGGGCGCTCCACTTTGTGCCGGGAGCCCTGCTCTCGGGGCGTTCTGATGTGAGCCGGAGCTGTCAATGTGGTAGACAGAATAAGAGAGGGAAATATTGCCGCCACCCCCCACCCCCCAGCTGATCTTGGGCTCCCACGTGGGATACAGTGAGGGAAGCCACCCCTGCGGCCAAAGAGTCTGCTCTAAAAAGTATTCTCAGAGCAGGTGCTTTGAGAGATGACTCTGGATTCAGAGCATAGAGGCGTTTGAAAGTTAGGTAGTACCTTGCCAGAAGAGATGAATCGACTGGTCCGAACCCAGGCCACTCAGCAAGGCAGCCAGGTCTTACTGGCCAATATTGTTGCGCACACCAGACTTCTGGAGGTCTTCAAACACTCCTGCTAAAAAAATAAGGGGGGGAGGGGAAACCCATGTAATGTACATGTTTTACAGTGTTTTGAACTAGAATTCACATACTCTAAAATTTACCACTGAAAATACAATCCAGGGGGTTTTAGTGTAGTCACAATGTTGCATAATCATCGCCATAATCTAATTCCAGAACGTTTTCATCACCCTGGAGAGAAACCTTATACCTGTTAGCAGTCACGGCCCATTCATGTCTTTCCTCAATCACATTAGCACCTTTACGCATTGACTTGTTTTTTCCTTCCTTCCAGATCTTGGTACCGATGGAATCATCCCACCTACCTCCACTGAGACCAAAAAGTTTCTCCTAATCCACCTGGCCCTGTATTCCCCACCGGAAGGAAGGGAATCATACCTTCTGTGTATGGACAGATTACTGTCAGAAGAGTGAAAGAGAACCCCACTATCGACCCAAACTCTTGCTTCTTCAGGAGTGAGGGCCTCCAGAGATCTAAACTGTGATTGAACCATGTGCTGACTCTCAGTGCTCTTGAAACATATGGGCCCCCCCCTCACTGTTTACCTTTTTTACCTTCCTTCCCTGTGCTCCCATCTTCCAGTTCTAAATATTTCAGACAGCTTAGCTGTGGCAGTAGTCTTCTGGAGAAAGGACATCTTGCCATTATTTTCCAACGCATCCGTGGGACTCTCAGGGACAACCAAAGTTTGCCTGGTGTGCCAAACAACCCGAAAGAGAGATGACGGTTTTGACCCCAAACTTAGCCACCGCCTCCGAACCGATTCTAAAATCTGTGAAAAGATTTGAATCTGATGTCTCCACCAAGGACTTGATCTTTTCTCTGTTCATCAATCTTTTCTGACCGAATCTTCATTTCACGCCATTTTCTCTTTAGCCCCGCCCCCTTTCCGAGAACCAAAATCCAGTTGTGATTGCTTCTCCAGGTTCTCTCCTCTACAGAAGGCTGAGCCACCCTCAGTCCCTGGGCACATGTCTCTGCCCACAGGCGCTCTTCTGTCTGCTATCCCTGCCCTCAAGCTCAGGAGTGCTTATTCCTTCTCTTCCTCCCTGTCCTTACCTCGGTCCTCTCTCCCTCCCCACCCCGGCTGCAGAAGAAAGAACACAAAAGCGAACACGTAACAATTATGTTGGCAAAATACCTGTATATAGCCCTTTCCGGTTTTTGCAACGACCTTCTCTCCTTAATGTGGACTCTTCCAGCAAAATTTTTAACTCAGGTGTGAATTTTGAAGACATCGCTGTAATATTTTATCTTCTTTTTAAAAAAAGAAAAAGAAAGGAAAAAAATGCCAAAGTGTGAAATACTGTGCTAGCTTCCACAAGAGTTCCCACGTGAGCTGGGAATCTGTTGACTTCTTGGGAACATTATCTCTAGTCTCCTTCTTTGTGGGCCAGTGTGTAGAGATGTAACATGAAAGCCATTCCAGAGACGGTAACTTTAAAAAAAAAAAAAAAAAAAAAAAGACTGTATATCCAAGAAAAGGTTGAGATTCGAAGGAATCTCTCTGTTCTTAAATAAACTTGTATAGTTATGATATAAACGATTCTACTACTGATACGAGGTTTAGATTATTCTGTGTCTTTTGTTGAGGGGGGATATGAATGTATATGGTGAGATGAGATGGGGGAGCACTTGGCTGGCTCAGTAAGTGGAGTGGGCAACTCCTGATCACTCTTGAGTAGTGAGTTCAAGCCCCACAGTGGGCGTCGAGATTACTCACAAAAAATGGGATGGGACAATGCTTCAAATTGGTGCATTACATCTGTTACTCCCCATACTGATGCTAAAGATGACCTACATTACTACAGGGCTTTTAAGAGTTCAGAGTTCTTACTCTTTCTGACAGAACTACCTTGAGATCAGAGTAGCAAGAAACTGGTTGCCTCATTTTATAAGGGCCAGAATCATCATCGGAGAATAGTAAGGGGGAGGTTTAAGGCCAAGTCATCAGACTTAACAGGTGGAGGCAGAGGCTGAAAAGCTCATGTCCCAGATGTCCTGAAGGTCAATTATCCAGTATCCACACTAGAAAGCGATAGGAAAAGCAAAGCATAATTAAACAATCAAATATATGTGGCTTTGGAAATGCACTGTGACTTTTGAAAACCTGGTGGGTTTTCTTAGGTTAATAAAAATGTAAGTAGTTACCATTCCTCAGGTTGACAGTGACCTGTGCGAAAGGGAAGCGCTTCAAAACTGTAATGGCTCATGGGGGAGGGGGGAGGGGTGACCAAAATTGGGATGAAACATTTGTTGCAAATAATATCCAAGTGGGGAATCTGTATGTAAATAATCAAGACTTAACTGTTTCTGATGTTTGAATGGGCCTTATATTAAGACTATTCTTTCATACATGATGCTGGAGAAGAAAGCATATTAGTAGTAGGTACTGCCTCAAGAAAAGTTCCTGTTGGAAGTGGCTATGTATGCAGCAGAGACAGTAAGAGGAGTCTTCGGCACTAATTTTGAGTATATAAAAGGACCATTCTGCCACCCATGAGCCCTTGTGTACATCCCTGTGCATTCACACACAGGCATGCGTACACTCTTTGTATACTCATGGGTGCCAGAGCTGACCCCTTCTGTAGCCATCCTGACTACCGTGACATCTTATTCAGGTGAGTGCCTAGAGTTAATAATCTGCACTGTCCACAATGCTGGTTTTCATCCATTTCACCTTTTTTAAAAAATTTTTTTTAATGTTTTATTTATTTCTGAGAGAGAGAAACACAGTGTGAGCAGGGGAGGGTAAGAGAGAGGGGGAGATACAGAATCCAAAGCAGGATCCAGGCTCTGAGCTAGCTGTCAGCACAGAGCCAGACACAGGGCTTGAACCCATGAACCGTGAGATCATGATCTGAGCCGAAGTCAGACGCTTAACCGACTGAGCCACCCAGGTGCCCCCCATTTCACCTTTTTAGAAAACTTTATTTTTTTAGAGAAGTTTTAGATTTAGAGATTTCCCATATACCCCTGCCCCCTCACATGAATAGCCTCTCCCCCATTATCAACATCACTCACCAGAAAGTACCAGTTTTTTTTTTTTTTTTTTTTTAGACCAAGAATGAACTTACACTGACCCATAATAATCACACAAAGTTCACAGCTCACTCTTGGTGTTGCACATGCTACAGGCTAGGGTAGAAATATAATGATATACACCCATCATTGGAATATACAGGGTATTTTCACTGCCCTGATTCTCTGTGCTCTACCTATTCATCTCTCTACCCCCTACATCCTGGAAACCGCTGATCTTTTTACCGACTCTAATACCTCTGCATTTTACAGAAGGTCATATCGTTGGAATCACAGTACACACCATTTCCAGACTGGCTTCTTTCACTTAGTAGTATGCATTTAAAATTCCTCCATGTCTTCCTGGCTTAAGAGCCATTTCCTTTTAGCACTGAATAAATAATATTCTATCATCTGGATATCCCACAGTTTATTTATCCTTTCACCTACTGAAGAACATCTTGGTTGCTTCCAAGTTTTGGTAATTATGAATAGAGCTGCAGGGTGTCTGAGTGGTTCAGTCGGTTAAGCCTCTGACTTTGGCTCAATTCATGATCTCATGGTTCATGAGTTCAAGCCCTGCATCAGGCTTTGTTTGGTTAACAGCCATTGATTAGATGTGTCTTTTGCAAATATCTTCTCCCAGTTTGTGATTTGTCTTCGAATTATCTTGATATTTATCTTTTGCAGAGCAGAAGATTTTAATTTTAATGAAGTCCAGCTTACCCATGATTTCTGTCCTGAGTTGTGCCCTTGTTGTTGTATCTAAAAAGGCATCACCATACCCAGGAGCATCTAGGTTTTCTTCATCTAAGTGTTACCTTCCTGAAATTTTACATGTTTTGCATTTTACATGTCTGCCTATGATCCATTTTGAGTTCCTTTCCGTGCAGGGTGTGAGGTCTGCGTCCAGCTGCATTGTTTTGTTTTGTTTTGCATGTGGATGTTCGGTAGTTTCAGTACCATGGGTTAAAGACACCATCTTTTCTCCGCTGCGTTGCCTTAGCTCCTTTGTCAAAGATCTGTTGACTCCATTTATGGGGGGTTTCTTTCTGGGCTCTCTATTTGAGCACAGTTTTTATGAAAGAAATACAGAATTGTAGCCTAACTGCTCAGCCTTCAGTAGCTTCCATTGTCCATTGTCTTGGATAATTGTTCAGCAGAACCAAACCCTGGAAGCAGGCACTGATTTGCCTTTCAGAGCTGCGTGATTCCCTAAAATCCCAGTGAAGTTCAACCAAAGATTGGTTAGCTTCTTCAGCATCTAATTAGGCACAAGGGAATCGAAGGGCGAAACCCTGTCGTTGTCCTGGGGGAAAGAAAGAGAAGAATTGATCCTGCTAATTTGCAAATTTTCATACTTCAATTTTTAGTTGACTGAAGACTGGTGGGCCCTGCCATGGACTCCTAATTCTAAGGACTTTTGGTGCAATTCAGAGAATTGAGCTTAGCCTCAGGACTCAAGTGAGGAATCCTGAAGCTAAGTTTTCATGGCTCAGTGCCTCTCCTTCCTGCACATTCTGTGTGTACCTGTAATAACTCATGTACTGCATTTGCTGATTCTTCTTCTTCTAGACCGTGGGGAGCTCCCTCTAGCTGAGTCTGTCTCTGTTTCTCTCTATGCCCATGACTAACACTGTGCCTGGTACATAATGGGAAATTAAGATTTTTGAAAATTAAATTTCTTTCTTTCTTTTTTTTTTTTAAACATCTGAATAACTTCTAGTGCCCTTCATTGAGGTTAGGAGCTGTGAATACCGAATAGTACAGTGCATGTCTGTAGGGGATTCTTGTCAAGTGCAGAGCCATACTGCCTGGGTTCATACTCATATCTACCTCCCACTAATCATGTCACCTTGAGTGAGTTCCTTGATTTCTGTGTGCCTTAGTTTCTCACCTATAAAATGGGGATAACAACAGTAGCCATCTCATAGGGCTGTGAGAAATGACTAGTTAATATTTGTAAAGTGCTTGGCACAATGCCGGGTACATTAATAAGTGATGTCTGCTATTAGTATGATTATAAACACAATTATTGTCATTATTATTCAAATAAATTGGTGGAGAGCTTCCTGTTCCTGTTCTCCATTATAGCCCAGAACTTTTGTGGGGGGCGGGGGGATATCACTGTTCACGAATATCTGATCAGGTAAATCAAGGGTTGCGGCCAAAGATATGTAAGTTAGTAAATACAATTCCAGGTAATGAAGCTTGAACTTGGACTATGAATTACCCTAGGATAAAGGCTCCATTGGAAGAACTGGCACCTTCCTTATCCCCTCAGCCTTTAGACCCCTGAAGCCTTTTAATAGTCTGTTCTTTCCTGGAAAATGGTGGCAGGAAGAAGTTAGTTCCAAATGCAGATACTAGAACAAGAAGAGGGGCACCTGGCTGGCTCAGTCGGAAGAGTATATAACTTTTTTAAAAAAATGTTTATTATTTTGAGAGAGAAGGGAGTGAGGGGAAGGGCAGAAAGAGCTAGAGAGAGAATCCTAAGAAGGTTCTGCACTGCACTGCACTGTTAGTGCAGAGCCTGACAAAGGGCTCTATCTCATGAACAGTGAGTTCATGACCTTAGCTGAAATCAAGAGTTGTATGCCTAACTGACTGAGCCACTAAAGTGCCCTGAAAGCTCTCAGGGTTATGAATTCAAACCCCACATTGGGTGTAGAGATTACTTAAATAAGTAAAACTTAGAAGAAGAAAGAAGGAGGAAGAGGAGGGGAAAAAGGAGAAGAGGAAGAAGAAGGAGAAAATACTGCAGTGATTGTAAGCAAATGGGGAAGAGTTGAGATCCGACTACTATCCGTTTAGTGAAATGGATACTTCCGTCTTCTCTTTCATCAGGTTCTCATTACCTCTTAGCTTGTCTATTCTTACCCACGTGAAGCAGACGGTCTTCTCCAGTTTGTCTTATAGTGATTTTAGTTGAGTGTATAGCAGTGATTCTCAATTTTGGTTACACAGAAATCACCAGGAGAGCTTTTAAAAAGATGGATACCCACACAGATTCTGATTTACTTTGGGGTGCGGCCTGGAGATTTTTAAAAGCTCCTCAGATGATTTTATTGTGCCATCAAGGTTGAGAACCGATGCCCAACTGTGCATACAAATCACTGGGAACCTTGTTAGCATGCAGTTTTCATGTTGGGGTTCAGTTGGTCTGGGGTTAAGGTCTGAGATTCTGTGCTTCTAACAAACTCAGGAGATAGAGATTGTACTGGGCTAGGGGCCACACTTTGAGTAGTAAGGGCTTGATAAAATTATTCCCTTGCCTAATAACATCATAGACTTCTTGTTACCCACATAATAAGATGCCTCAGCCTGGCATCTCAGTCTGGCATCAGAGTCATTTAAGGCCCTCTGACAGCAGTGGTTCTTAAATGTGACTAATATCTGAATGACCCATGGGGAAATTTTAAAAGATATATATTCCTAGGCCCCACACTAAGCCTACTAAATCGTACTGTTCAAGGTATAGCCTACAAGGGTATTTTGAAAACACTTCCCAAGTGGTATAGAAGATCAACAAGGTTTAAGAGCCACCATATGCTTCTAGTACACTTTTCCAGGTTCATTTCCCATTCATTCAACCAGCAAACATCTATTACACCCGCCTCCTCCCAGGAATTAGAAAAACAAAGATGAAAACAGTTTGATCCTTACTCGTGAGAGATTGACAAGATAAATGCCAAAACTAGATTATTAACTACTCCCCAGCCGTGGTGTAAATGCTCACACTTCTACGTATCATCTTCTCTTTTCAAGACTGTCTGGGCCCATTGTCACCCATCCTGATAAACCAAACCATATGCCCCCTTTATGCCATTTAATCCTCCAAACTAGTTTGGTCATCTCTTCCAACTTACTTCCCTTGGTATTAAAATAGATCTCAGAGAGGAGAAAGGATTTACCCCAGTGTCACAACAACAACAATGAACATTTATATAGTGGCTTCCTTGTGCCTGTCATTGTTCTAAGCGCTTTACACAGGTGTGTAAGAGTCTCACAATAGCTTTATAAGATAGCAATTACTATCCCCGTTCTATGCTTGAGAAAAGGGAGGCACAGAAAAGTTAATTTGCGCAACGCAGAGTCAGTAACCAAGCTGGGTTTATTTATTTGTAAAAAATTTTTTTTGATGTCCATTTATTGTTTTGAGAGAGACCGCGGGCACAAGTGGGGTGGAGAGAGGGGGACAGAGGATTCAAAGAGGTCTCTGCAGGGATCACACAACCGCGCTCACAGCAGGGATCCCAGACGAGGGGGGGGGCGGGGGGGGGCAAGGGGAGAGGAGGGGAATCTGGAGCTCCAACTAGGGAACTGCAAGATCATGATCTGAGCCTGGGGCGCCTGGGTGGCTTAGTCGGTTAAGCTTCCGACTTTCGCTTAGGTCATGATCTCACGGTTCGTGGGTTCGAGCCCCGCGACGGGCTCTGTGCTGACTGCCAGCTCAGAGCCTGGAGCCTGTTTCGGAGTCTGTGACTCCTTCTCTCTCTGACCCTCTCCTGCTCACGCTGTCTCTCTCTCTCTCTCCTGGAAATAAATAAAAAACATTAAAAAATTTTTAATATTAAAAAAAAAAAAGATCATGATCTGAGCCCAGGTGGGAAGCACAGTCAACCGAGCCACCCAGGTGCCCCATGCCGGGTTTATTTTGAAGCCTTATATTCTACTGCCCAGTTGGTGACAGGGCTATAACGAAAAGGAATCAACTTCTAATTCCCAGGCCTGAGCACTTTCCTGGCAAATTAACTGTGTGCTTGTTTCACGACTGAGACTCCAGCGTGAGGGCAGCGACTACGTCTTACATCTCCCATAGCGCTTAGTAGGGATGCGAGCCCTCAGCAGGTGGTCAACCACTGATTATTGGATGGGCTGTCCCAACATGGGGGGGGCGGTAATTGTCGAAATAAACAACAACACGCAAACACGGGCCACAGCCTGCAGGTCTCACGTGACCACCAGGTCACACACCGCTATCCGCTCCCCCCCCCCTCCCCCCGGCCCTGAGCGAAGGAGGAGGACCCTCCGGCACCCTTCACGGACGTCCCCCTTCCAGCTCGGGTTCTGCGCTCCGTCCTCCCAGCCACAAGGTGCCCCCAGACCCCCGGCTCCTCTTCCGCCGCCGCCAGAGCCTCGTCCTCCTTCCCTCTTTCCGCCGCTTCCTGCTCCGGGGATCCGCGCTCCGAGCTCTGGGGCCGAGGCGCCCGAGGCTTCCCGGTGCGCTCGGCCAGGTAACAGGTAACCGCGCGGCGCGAACCGCTCGGCTCCGGGCCGCTGGGGGCCCGGCCGCCTGTGGGGGGGTGGGGGGGGAAGGAGGCCGGCAGGCGGTCTGGCCTGGCCGCCGAGGGGCAGGAGGGCGGGAGGCCTTGCTGCGCCAGGCTCGGGCCACCCGCTGGATGCCCGTACAGCGGCGCAGGTGCGCGCAGCCGGGCGCGGCGCGGCCCGTGGGCGCGTCCGAGGGAGACGCGCTCCTCGCGGTGCCTGCGGGGCGCGGGGGTAGCAGCTCGCCCGGGCCACGCCTGCTCCGCGGCCGCCAGCCAGGTGGGCCCGCCCCGCGCTCCTCCTCCCGAATGTGGCCCTGGAACGGGAGGAGCGACGACGGGGGCCTTGGAATTGGGAGCCGCGTCGGCCATCTCAGTACCCTTCCGTTCCTTTACCCAAGAGTGAAAACCCGAAATCCAGAGATGGACTGACGTTCCCAAGGCCACAGACTCGTATCTGCCATTTACAAATGTCTGTTCTTTTAAGTGTTTGTAAATAGACGACTGTTTCCTCTGTTCTGGCAGGGAATTAGGATTCAGGGAAGAGGACTCTAAAAATACTAATCAGCAGATCCAAATGAGCTGATCCGCATTACTGGCCGGTGACCCTGGCATTTAGAAGGAAGTAAGCGAGGACGGGGTTCTTTTCACTCTGGGTACTTTGTATTTCTGGCCCTTGCTCCGAAAATTGGCCTCGATGCTTTACAAAATTTATCTCAGAACCTTGTCAGAACTGGGCCAGATTAGAGTTTTCAATCCTCTTTTCTTCTCTCTGTTCCTTTTTCCTTTTCCCCTTCTCCTTTCCGTTCCTTTCCTTTCCTTCTTCAGAGGCTCAAGAGGTGAAAGTGATTTGCCCCCTCTTTTATGGATAGTTAGGGGTACAGACAGAATTAGAACTCAGGTCTGTGATCAACACCTGTTTTCTTGAATAGAAACCTGATTTCAGATGAAGGTGGTGCAGAACTTGACCTTCATAAAGCCCTCTCTGGATAGCATTCTGGGGCGTGGCTGGTGTACTGAAGTGTGTTGGTCCTCAGATATTATTTCACTTGTCACAATAGGGTTAAGCAATAAGTGTAGCCATGCAGAAAATTCCTGCGGAGATGAGACAGATACCTGAAATATTTCTTTTTTATTTGTACTTTCAATAGATGAGCTAACAAATATTAATAACATCTTGGTTACTTGAAGATTTTAGTCCTGTGTGACTAAATTGACTCAGTTACAGTCATTCTTGGCCTGATATATTTGTCATCAGCAAAAATTTCAAAATATAGCTTTCTGACTTTATGTTTAATTAAATAATTGCCTTAAAGATATTTTTCTGTCTCAACAAAAACTTCCCACTTGTATCTCCAAATCCCCCTGCTTCCCTCTTGGTTAATCTTTGAGTTGGATTTCAGAACTGAATTGAACTAAGATTGTTTTCTCTTCCAAAATATCTAGACTCTGATTAGTTCTGTATTTAGGGTTACCTCAAGTTTCCATTTTAACTGATAAACCTGTGACTTAAATCCAAATTTCAATTGAGTTTAATATCAGCTTCAAACCACATTAAACTGCTATGTGTCATCTGACCTCTAGCAGAAACCACGGGTGATAGTTCCGTTTTTTTCACCAGAGCTTCTTACTGGAGTTTTAAAGCTTGAACACATTATCTAATACATGTATTATGTTACTCATGTATCGTTCAAGGTCAGTCATCACTGGCAGATTATTGACATGTACTCACTCTTTAAAAATTTTTTTTTATGTTTATTTTTGAGAGAGAGAGAGAGAGAGAGAAACAGAACATGAGTGGGGAAGGGACAGAGAGAGAGGGAGACATAGAATCTGAAGCAGGCTCCAGACTCTGAGCTGTCAACACAGAGCCAGAGGCGGGGCTCGAACTCACAAGCCACGAGATTATGACCTGAGCCTAAGTCCCATGTTTAACCGACTGAGCCACCCAGGTGACCTTTCACCTGTACTCATCCTAACAACACATTGTATTAGGCAGTTTACTAACTCGGAATGCAGTTGCTGTTTTTCAGTTTCCAGTGTTTACCAGTTACCTCTGAGGAATATGGATTTAGAACTACAGCCATACTTTATTAAATATTTTTTAAAAGTTTATTTATTTATTTTGAGAGGGACAGAGATAGTATGAGCTGAGGAGGAGCAGAGAAGGTGGGGGGTGGGGGTGCAGAGAGAATCCCAAGTAGGCTCTGTGCTGCCAACATAGAGCTAGATGCAAGGCTCAAACTCATGAAACGGTGAGATCATGACCTGAGCCCAAACCAAGAGTTGGATGCCTAACTGACTGAGCCAGGCAGGTGCCCCTCTAGTCATGCTTTAATAGAAGATTCTCAGCTGTGGGGCGCCTGGGTGGCTCAGTCAGTTAGGCATCCGACTTTGGTTCAGGTTTTGATCCCAGGGTTTGTGAGTTCGAGCCCCATGTCCAGGTCTGTGCTGACAGCTCAGAGCCTGGAGCCTGCTTTGGATTCTGTGTTCTGCTCTCTCTCTGCCCCTCCCCCCACCCATGCTCTGTCTCTCAGAAATGAATTAACATTAAAAAATAAAAAGAAGATTCTCATCTGTGTAGATAAAGAAGAGTTTCAGTAAAGGCAATGCTTTTGTCCTACCCTGTAGTAGAAATGACGACTACAGTCACCTTGACCCAGTGCTGTTTTCTTAGGGTATATCCTTTGTTTTTCTGGTTTTGGTCTTTTCATCCTAGGATGGCACTAGCTCTGTGTCCGCAGGTGCTGTGCAGCCTAGGGGGCTGGCTTTCTCTCTACATTTCCTTCTGCCACCTGAATAAGCACCGAAGCTATGAGTGGAGCTGCCGGATGGTTACCTTCACCCATGGAGTCCTCTCCATAGGCCTCTCGGCATATATTGGCTTCATTGATGGCCCCTGGCCTTTTACCCACCCAGGTAGGTAGCACCGTTAGAGGGCTTTCCCTAACAGATTATATAATCTGGGGGGAGTCTTGGAAGAATGGGACATTTTCACATAATGTGTACAATAGTGAAGAGTAATTACCATTATAATTTGTGTTGGGAGTCTTCATTTTTAACTCTGAATCTGTATGTGTCCCTATTTCTGCTTTTCATAACTCTTTTATTTTTTTTATTAAAAAAAATTTTAATGTTTTTTAATTTATTTTTGAGAGAGAGATGGAGAGACAGCATGAGCAGGGAGGGTCAGAGAGAGAGGGAGACACAGAATCTGAAGACAGGCTCCGGGCTCTGAGCTGTCAGCACAGAGCCGAGCCCAACACGGGGCTCGAAACCACGAACCGTGAGATCATGACCTGAGCTGAAGCTGGACACTCAACTGACTGAGCCACCCAGGTGCCCCAACTCTCTACTTTTAAAACAAATTTTATTTAAAAAAAAATTTTTTTTTATGTTTTATTTATTTCTGAGAGAGAGAGAGAGAGAGAGAGAGAGACAGCATGAACAGGGGAGGGTCAGAGAGAGAGGGAGATACAGAATCTGAAGCAGGCTCCAGGCTCTGAGTTAGCTGTCATCACAGAGCCTGATGCGGGGCTTGAACCCACAAACTGAGATCATGACCTGAGCTGAAGTTGGACGCTTAACTGGCTGAGCCACCCAGGCGCCCCTAAAACAAATTTTTAAATGCCTATTATATTGTGATCCATCGAAGTGTATAAAACATAAAGCCAATATCCCCATCTTCTACCATCACTCCCAAACAGACACAAATGGACTGTATTACACGTACGTTTTGATCATCTGCATTGTCACTTGATTGTATATTGAAAGGACATCTATATCGATTTTTTTATCCTTAATTGTGATATGATATTGTGTTGTATGATACACCATTGTTTATTTAACGCATGTCTTATAATTTTGGACAACTATATTGATTAAAAAAAATTTTTTTTAATGTTTATTCATTTTTGAGAGACAGAGACAGAGCATGAGCAGCGGAGGGACAGAGAGAGGGAGACACAGCATCTGAAGCAGGCTCCAGGCTCTGAGCTGTCAGCACAGAGCCCAGTGCGGGGCTCGAACCTACAGACCACAAAATCATGACCTGAGCCGAAGTCGGGCGCTTAACTGACTGAGCCACCCAGGGACCCCTGATTTTTAAGTGGCTAGATGTCTGAGTATTACTGCCTTAGAATAAAAAAGTTGCATCCCGGGGCACCTGGGTGGCTCAGTCGGTTAAGTGTCAGACTTTGGCTCAGGTCATGATCTCACGGTTCATGGGTTCGAGCTCAGCATCGGGCTCTGTGCTGACAGCTCAGAGCCTGGAGCCTGTTTCAGATTCTGTGTCTGCCTCCCCACTGCTCACACTCTGTCTCTCTGTCTCACTCTCAAAAATAAATAAAGATTAAAAAAAATTTTTTTTAAAAAGTTGTATCCCCTTGAATTAGTTTGCTGGGGCTGCCATAACAAAATGCCACAGAGTGGGAAGCACGGACAACAGAAATTACTTATTTACAGTTCTGCAGGCTAGAAGTCCAAGGTCAAAGTGTTGGCTGGTTTGGTTTCTTTTAAGGCTTCACTCTCTTTCTTAAAGGTGGCTTCCTTCTTGCCATGTCCTCACGTGGTCTTCCATTTGGGTGTGTCTGTGTCCTGATTTCCTTATTTTATAACAACGCCAGCCATATAGGATTAGAGCCCACCTTAACAACCTCGTTTTAACTGCATTAGCTCTTTTAAGGCCTGATCTCAGAAGAGTCACATTCTGAGGAATTGAGGGTTAGGGTTTCAACATATGAATTTGCAAGGGACAATTCAGTCCAGAAATCCCTTAGGATATGATTTTTTAAAAATTCCTTAGTTTCTTTTTTTAAATTTCCTTAAATTTCTATATTAAGCTTCTGAGTTTTCCCCCAAACTGTCAAACTGATAGGAAGGTGGCTTTTAAGCTTTGTGTCTCATATGAAGGTTTCAAATAGATTTCAACATGTCCTGTCCTTGTACTCGATTTCCTTAAGCTGGGAACACACTGAGTTCTGGGGTTCTTTCCAAGGCCGGCTTTCAAGAAGCGTCAGGGCCACCAGTGTCCAACAATCTAACCCATTAAGCTAAGAAATTAATCCGACATCCAGGGCAGAATAAGTAAAAGAGTCTGGAAGCAGACCTTTAAAGCTGGTTAAACAAACATATAAAATAAAATAAAAAGAAGAAGAAAAAAAAGCAAGAACTGAAAGAGTTTTAATTGAAAGAACAAAATAACTGAGTCTTAATGCTGCTCCGTAGAGAGGACGCTGAGATAATGGCAGTTGCTCAGATCACTCACTGCACTCTGATTCATCAAGCCCAGTGTTTCCTGGGCCTGTCACATCATTTGGTTTGATAAAGACCAAGGTTTTAGATATTACTCTTGGTTGTCATTAAAATGCATGTGCCTGCCTTGCATCAGTCATTCAACTGATCGTCATGGCCCAGTTGTGGGAGACAACACAGGACCCCTGTGCAAGGTCACTGTTCTTATACAACTCCCCGTCACTCAGTCTGCTTCTGTCTTGGTTTATTTCAGGCTCACCTAATACACCTCTCCAAGTGCATGTACTGTGTCTCACCTTGGGCTACTTCATCTTCGACTTGGGCTGGTGCATCTATTTCCAGTCTGAGGGGGCCCTGATGCTGGCTCACCACACCCTGAGTATTTTGGGCATCATCATGGCCCTGGCGCTTGGAGAATCAGGCACAGAGGTCAACGCGGTCCTCTTCGGAAGTGAGATTACCAACCCCTTGCTGCAGATGCGCTGGTTTCTCCGAGAAACAGGGCACTACCACGGTTTCACTGGCGATGTGGTGGACTTCCTCTTTGTGGCTCTTTTCACTGGCGTGAGGATCGGCGTCGGAGCTCGCCTCCTGTTCTGTGAAATGGTCTCCCCCAAGCCCAGGTGGTTTGTGAAGGTTGGGGGAGTAGCAATGTATGCTGTGTCTTGGTGTTTCATGTTTAGCATCTGGCGCTTTGCATGGAGGAAAAGCATCAAGAAGTACCACGCCTGGAGAAGCAGGTGGAGCGAGGAGCGCCAGCGGAAATGCAATGGACATCTCAAAACGCACTAGCTGACCCTTCTTCCAGGTGACACATTGGGTTAGTCAGCCACATGACCCAGGCTGGAGATACGGCTGTTAGAGAACCATGTGTACAACAAACTTAGGTTTCAAAAAAGGGCTAAACGTATCAGTCCGTTTGGTCCGTTGGTGAGTGAAGCCCGTACCAGTATTAAAACAGTAATGTCTACCGTGGTGCAGCTGTAGGAAGTGAGACTACTTAGTGGTAGTTGTGAAGAAGTCAGAGCTGTGAGGTGGGCACAGCTACCTTCCTTTGATCGTGGTGTCCCTGGGTCCTCCCGTCTCTGGGATGCTAGATGGTTAGACAGCTCAGGAAGGAATTTGAGAATCTCTTCGAGAACTGATTCCTTGAACAAACCCTTATTCCTGCTTTCCGTTTAGCAATTTAAATAAAGTCACCCCATTTACTATAAAGTGAGGGACTTCTAGGAAGATGCATGTATGGCATTCTGAGCATTGGATCAGGGCATGGGATGTGCTTAGACAAAGGGAAAGGATGAGAGAAGTGACCCTAAACCAACTGTTGAGGGTCCTCGAAGACACCCCCCCCCCCCCACCAGGTTTGGTGCTTTGCTAAGGAGACTCATATGACTCCAAATGTAGTCCAACTCCTAGCTGTGATCAATTACACTGAAAGGATACAAAGAAAGAGCAGCGAAGGGAAAAGGTGCCTGGGGCAGAGTTTAGGGGAAACCAGGCCCAAGCTTCCAGAGCCCTCTCCCAGTGGAGATCCCGGAGGATGCCCTGAATTCCTCTAGCACCAGTTTGTGGTGATGTGTGTAGAATGTCTAGTGAGGAAGCTCATTAGATGCTCAGTGCCCATGGTTTCTATTGGGGGTCATGCAGGCAGCCATTGCCTGGCATGTAGCAAAATTCCCGGCTCCGAGAAGGAAAGCAGGTGTTCAGCATAAACCACATCATTTGCACAGTGTAGGCACCGTGAGCCATTCTCATCAGTTAATGAAGGAGCCCTCCTGAAATGTAAGTTCCCAGATGCCAGCCAAGGGCCAGCCTTGCAAGGAGGCCTTTCCAAGGATGGGAGTTCAGACTTGCTCTGTTAACTCCTTTCTGCACAAAAACCAGGGAGCTAGGGCTTCGGATGAGCGATGAATGAGGTGTGGGCAGATTTACTGAGTCCTGTTGTACGGGTTCTGCCCTACTGGGAAAACGATGCCAATTCTCAGGGCTTTTGTGCATTAATCTCCCAGGCATGAGAGGCTGTGACTGAATTCCATAGGGATTTAGCATGCGGATTCCACCGTGCCTGAGGTGGCAGTTCAGGTTTCAGCCTTGCTGTACATACTGCAAACCAGAACCAAAGAGTAAAGTGCACCGGCCTCGGGGTGCTGAGGCTATTTTTTTCAATTTTTATTTCATATACCTTCCCTTTAGCCCTCTTATTATGTTTTCTTTCCTCTGAAAAAGGTTCCGCTTTCTATGGTTAAAATCTTACAATGAGAGGCACCTGGGTGGCTCAGTCGGCTAAGGGTCCGACTTTGGCTCAGGTCATGATCTCATGGTTTGTGGGTTCAGGCCCCGCATCGGGCTCTGTGCTGACTGCCAGCTCGGAGCCTGGAGTCTGTCTCCAGGGGGATTCTGTGTCTCCCTCTCTCTCTGACCCTCCCCTGCTCACGCTGTCTCTCTCTCTCTCTCTCTCTCAGAAATAAATAAAACATTAAAAAAAAAAAATCTTACGACGAGGCCAGTCCTAGAAGGAAACAAAAAAATATTTCTTCATGCGATAGTCTCTCCTCTACCCCAGGAAAAGCAAGAACGTCAGCTTAGAAATGAGAGACTAGGCATCTAGACTTTCTGAGTTCTTTTAACTAATTTTGCCGCTCTTTTGCCAGATCATGTGGGTAGGTCACTTGTGTTCTCTCTCTCTCTCAGTTTAAACCTTGTGAATGAGTGTATTTCACAGCAACACTGTGGCATCTTATTAAGGGAGGTCTCTAATGTAGAACTTTTATGGGGAAAAGGACTATTTATTTATTTGCTTTTTATTTATTTATTGGATTATGTTATTTAGACCCCTGGGGATTGATTGGCTTAATTGGTGAGCAAATGTGCAGGGCTACGGAAGTCTAAGCCTAGGTCAGTAGGAAGTGTCTGCGCCCATTCTGTGGTCACCGGTCATACGAACCTAATAGAGTGGTCTTGAAAATGGACGTCATGGCCCAGCCATGGCGGAGTGGTGGAACAGCATGACGTTATTGCTCTGGGAAAGGCAACTTTCCAGGCATGTTAACAGTGGGTCTTTTAATGTGACTGTCATTTGGTTTAATGAGCTTTGCTGCATGTGGAACTAATCTGACGGTAGCATCTCCGTCTTTCTCTTTTTTTTTTTTTTTTCCCCCTGTGATCAGTATCCCCAGAATGCTGGTGAGCTTCTTTCCAGCAAAACTGTGGTCAGAGTTAGATGTTGTGGAATGCTGATTTTAGCAAAAGCCCAGTGAAAAAGAGTGGCTTGGCGCAGGAGCTTAAAAAAAGAAAAAGCTGGCTCTTGAATTTTGGCACAGTGCTACCTGTTCCATACCAGACAAATGAATAGGCTTAATCTGGTACCAATTTTTTCTCTCTTTACTCCTCAGAAGTGAAGGGATTGCAGACCTTGCTGTTTTAGGGGTCCTCCTGGGAATGTACGCAGGTTTCTTTTAGATTTTGAATAACCTAAATAATAAGGGAAGAAAAATTGTTCATTTCAGCTTTCCTTGATGCTTTAGCTAGTAACTCTGAAGGAACCTCCCTAGAGAAAAATGGGGAATGAAGGTGACTCAGCAGTTCAGACACTAAGTTTTGACATCACAGGTAAACGAAGGGCTAATTAACACGTGGTATGGTCAGACAAAATGAAGTATTTTATTCATTTGCATTTGGATTACTATATAATAATTCCTAACACTGCTCAAGAAAGATTTATATTTCAGTAAGATTTGTACTAAATTTTATAAAAATAAACATTTTTTTATCAACCCAGAGTCTGTCTTTATATCTTTGGTGTGATTTTGCCAAGAAGTTAAAAAAAAAATTGGCTTGTAGAAATGTTGACCCATATTTATGATTCTCTGTGAAATACTGCTTACCTGCTCTTAACCATCAACCATTCCTAATACTGTTTACTTTTCGGGGCAGCAATCTACATACAGAGTACAGAAAACAGTTTGCCAAAGAGAGAAGAAGAACTTCATTTCTTTATTTTGCCACTTGTTTGGGCAGTTGCCTTGAAAATGATGTTGAGTGGGCTCCATGCAGATAAGGACCCTCAGCTCTCTTCAGAACTGTACTTCAAATGCATAGAACAGTGTTAGCTACATAGTAGGTGCTCAATAAACATTGAAAGAAGAATGGATGAGAATATGGTTTAGGATAGCCACCCTCCCCTCCCCCCGGGAAACCTCAAGAAGCATGCATGGTGGATTGTATCACCGGTGTCATTTTTTTAGGTAAGGGACTAATGACTGTGGGGAGTGTGTTCCACCTAGACTGGTGTGACTCTTCTGAAGGCATTCTATAGTTAGAGCCTTTAGAACAGTCTAGAGCTACCAACAGTACTAAAGAGGCTTTCAGGGATGTTTTTACCATTAGAGCTTTGTGGGTGAACATAGAGATTTTCATCGTTGAAAAAAATAGTTCTGGAATGAATAACCACTGGCTTAATTAAATCCTTTGCTTACCATCTTCTGAAGCTTTCCCACAGCAAATGCCTTCTTTGCTCACAGCTAGAACTTTGGGTCTGTTTAAGTTTGGAAAGATCTTGAAAGCAGCCTGCCAAGAGGTTTTGTATGCAAGGAAGAGAAGGTGAATTAGGAAACTTTCCAGTTTGTTTTATTCCTGAAGCTCAAGTAGTGAGGCATTCTTGAAGGAAAGAGGAGAACTCATTTTTTAAATGCGTGATTTGATGAGTCATTGGGTCCAATTAATTTCATACCTAGCCTGCAAATTATTAGGACCTGGCAAAATGATATCTAGTATGTTTAAGAAAAATACAGGTTTGGGGATAAGGTTTGCATGTTGGTCATTTTATATAGACTGGATAGAGTTCTTTCCAGTTATATGCAAAAAAATATGCAATTTAGTGAAAAGAGTTCTCTGGGTAGAATTATCCTGGGGTACACCAGCAGGTGGCAATGTGTCCTGGTCTGATCATTAGGAAAGTGGCTTGGAACCTTAATCGACTGCTATTCTTTCCCAAAATAAACATTACAAAATCAGCTGGCTGTGCTCCGAAAAAATAAAATTAAAAAAAAATCATGCAATAAAGAGTCATCTTTGGCCTCTGTTTATCTTTTCCTTTTTTTATCCCGTTCTAACGTCAGCCTTAGCTCATGCATCTATTCATGGATAATGATCTTTTCATGAACTGTTGCAGGTTGACTTAGAAACAGCGTCGTTAAGAAGTGATTGTTTCTCCTTTCCACATCCACTCTTTATTAAATTTGCTTTACCATCTGACTTCCACAGAAAGGCTGAAGATGCACGCCCACCAATGCAGGTTTGAACTCATTAAGTCTTAAAACAGGTAAAGGGACAGCTACTTTAGATGTTGGCAGGTGGAACTGAACCATATTGTCTGTGGTACTTAAAATCGCTACACTACGTAATTATGCAGTCATAAGACTAGATATCTAAATGTACGCTGTAGAAAAAGAAAGAAGCCCTCCCCCCTCCCCAAATATTTGGGGACTCCAGAGAGAACTGCAATGCTTTCTACTGGATCAATGCACTTTATTTGCTGTTCCCATTTCTCTCCACAGCAAGCTTGTGAAGTCGCTGTGGAAAGCACCATGCTTTCTCCATTTGGCAAATCATACATTTCACTTTGCCAAGGCAGAAGCAGCCTAAAAGCAATATTACACCAAGAAATCCTGGCTCCCAATTCCCATACCCTCATTTCCCCCCAGTGCTAAGCACCACCGTCCTCTGACTTCACCCTGGCAGCCAGAATTTGGGAGCCGCGCAGCCCCCCGTCCTGGGACGAGGCCAGCAGGTGCCCCAGGTGAGCGGCCAAGGCCAAACCCGCTCTCTCTGCTGGGGTTTGCTGCAGAAGAGACGGATGGGGTCCTGGCATCTCTACCTGAGTTCGCTTCCAGCAGTGACAAGCAGTCGTTACGTGTTATCAGAAAATAAGAGCAAGTACATCCCATTAAGGAATAAACGTTTCCAGGGCAAGGGGGCGGGTGACGCCTCCCGTCCCGGACGCCTCAGCACTGGGGGAGTGCTCTCCGGTGGTCTCCGAGTAGAGCCGAGTTAGTACAAGCTAGACCCCAAAGTACAGCTCTCCAGCGATCCCGGGGCCTTGGGGGCGACGCTGGGTCGGTGGGTGGGACTCCCGGAGTCGGGCTGTTCCCACCTCCCTCCGCCCCGCAGAACTACTTTTTCGCTCCCCCAAACAGGGCTCCAGCGGAGGCGTCCGCGCGGCACTGGCGAGCGGGTAGGCGGCTGTGGAGACGAGCGAGGCCGGGCGGCGAGGGCGGCGCGGCGGCCCCGCGCGCCGCGGAGGGATCCCGGGTGAGGCGGCTTCCCGAAGTCAGAGGGGAGGAGGCCAAAAAAGTCGGCGGGGGAGGGGAAGCGCGAGCTCGCGCTGGACGCGGCCGGGGCCGGGAAGACAGAACCGGAACCGGAACCCGTGCGCGCGCCTGCGATCGTCGCGCGGCCCCCACCGCCGCCGGCCTCCTCCGCCCGCCGCGCGCGCTCCCGCGAGGGCCCCGGGACCCGGCGAGCCGGTCCTGCGCTCCGAGTGGTCGCCCTCGTCGCGCCGCCACCGCCGCCCGCCTCTGGGGCCGGTGCTTCGAGGCCGGGCCGGACGGGAACCTCCCGCCCCTCGCGGGAACCGCCGCCTACCGGCGCGTCGGGGAGGAGCCGCCGCCGCCGCCGCCCGTGCGGACTGCGGAAGAGTCCGGGCCTCCCAGGGATGGGGAGCAGCCCGCGGCGCTGAGAGATCAGGTTCCTGTCACCTCTGGCTGCGGGACCCCCTCCCCCGGCGCCTGCGGTCGTCTCAGCGCCCGGAGCCTGGTGGGGGCGGCGAGGAAGACGAGAGGGGTCCCCCCGGCCCGGGGACATGGGGCCGCGCGAGCCTGGCGCGGGACGGCCCGAGACGCTGCCTAGGCTGCGGCCACGAGCGGCCGGCAGCCCCCGGTAGAGAGCGGAGACCGCAGCGGCGGGCCCAGCGGCGGCGGGGACTCGCGGGCCCCCGAGACTCCGGAGGAGGAGCCGACACCCAGCCCCGAGCTGATCCCGCCCCAGCCCCGGAGGGACTCCCGGGCCCCTTCCCGGCGGCTCGCCGACTTCCCTGCGTGACGGAGTTTTCTCCCTGTGCCTTGCGGAGGATCGCTCTCTAGCCCTAGCACTCGCCTTCCGGCAGACTCTCTCGGGTTGTTTTGGGAGATAGCCTGTTTTGCTCCGACCTCCATCCCCTTTCCTTGACCCCTTCCAGTCGGCGGTTCTAGATGACTGAATGGAGTTTTGAGTTGGACTTTTGTGTCCCTTGCGGAGTCGGGCCTGATCCCAGAGCACTGGGGGTGGGGTGGA